CTTACCCTGCTCCTATTTCCTCTTTTGGAATTTATATAATTCCAAAAAGATTTTGGGTCGTAAATGTCAGTACATTTACTATTATTTATTTAGTTTAGGTTGTTTATTCTTTTGTTCTAACTTCAGTAAGTTAGAACAAAACGTATTATGGCTTATATAAATCTGTAAGTTTATGAGTAATAGTTATCTAACGTATAGAATGTGTATGTTATAAAAAGCCATGAGAAAATATCACTTTTTACCTGCGGAACCCTACACAGCGCATGGCTATTTTTCTTTAAACCGTCAATGTGCCAAATAAAAACGTTTTCGTTTATCTGTTGCCTAATCATAACAGCTTTGGTGGTAATCTTGTGTGGCTCCATAACTCCTATCTTAATGTTTATGGAGATCTAACAGACCTAGTTACTGACAGCAAAAACATACTAAACTGAATAAAATAAGCGTTCATTGTTGACAGTTAGGATTAAGTATTATTCTGCAAAGACGTCTAGTAAATGCAGGGGGCGGAGAGGGCCCGGGAGGATAATCTCCACTCGGACCCAATTCGAATGGATTGGGTGGCGGACATGCGCTTACCAGCGCCTCAGACCGCCTTGAGTGTGGCCGCGGGTGGACGGGACGGGTTTTCCCCTCCACCCTCTTTAACGGCTAGCCGCAAGAAGGCGTAAGTAAATAGAGTATGTACCCAAAGGTGGTGCCCGCGCCATTGCGGACAGGCGCTAGGAGTGGTGTTTTAATAACAGCAGTTCCTAGATCCCTACTATTATAGGCGCAGAGTAGCACGCCATGTGGTTTTAGTCGGTCTGATTCCGACACACCACCCCGCACCCCTGTGGGATGACGGCCCGAAGGGGTTTCCACACGTAAAAACGCTTTGCAAATCCACGCAAACGAAGTCGCGAGTTCCAGCTAGTATATTTTAAATTTGATTGTTTGCTACGCTTGACGTCTGAAATTACTTTTTAGCAAATAGCAAAACCGAGATTTAACAACTTCAAAATTATTACTCTCTATTTCTCTTATAAGAGAACGAAATGTTTTAATATTCATCGTAGTTTGCAATAACCATTTATTTATTTTTATTATTCTTTCTTTAAACAAAAATAAATTGATGTAAATTATTTGTAGAAATTACGAGTATAAAATAACTTTGATAATCAGCGTGAAAGAGTCGCTGTCTTGTCGCATTACTCGTTACAAATATACTTACACATCGGGTGGCGTACAACAAATACGTGCGGGGTGACGCGTCGCCACGCCAACAGCGGGTCTGACCCCATTAGAGTTTTATATTTAAAAAAAACAGAGGCAGTCGTAAAGGCTGCCGACAGAAGTGAAAACTCAAAACAATGGAATAATTGTGTTAGGGAGTTTCCACCCCGTTAACAAAAAAAGGTGCATTGATGTCGATGATGCTGTTCCAATGTGGTTGTAATTCAACAGATTAACTCTACAAGTATAGTTTTAGTGATATTGAGCTTAAAAATAATATTAAACAATTGGTAAAAATAATATACACTATTTATTCATAACAATATACAATTACAAAACAATATACAAAAACAATAAACATTAATAATAATTATGTACATTATAACAATATTTCTACTATCACAAAGCGGCGGATCCACTGAAATTAAAGGCATTAGAGAGGTCAACTAGGACTAATACTGTGACTTTGGTGTCTTCCATGCCCTTCCTAATATCGCCAGTCACTTTAAGGAGAGCGGTAACTGTGCTGTGACTGGGCCTGAAGCCGGATTGTAAGGGGCTTAAAAGTTGGTTTTTGTATACAAACTGTGAGAGTTGTTTATACATACACAGGCCTCGAGTACTTTAAAGAAAAAGGGCAGAATAAAAAGAGGTCGAAAGTGTTCAGGAAGTGAAGGGTTATTATCTTTTGGTAGAGGAATGATATAAGCCTTGCGCCTCATAGAGAGAAAGATATCAGAGTCGAGAGAGAAGTTGATTATGTGAGTAATTTATTGCTATACGTAGATATAGGATACGTAGTTATACGGCTAACAACTTTGATCATTCATTTAATCCTCAGGAAAACAGTCTTTCACATGATATATAATTTCGCGCTTTTTTTTTTAAAGACAACTCCCGCATTAGGAATGTATCCTGTGCCGCGGGGGACTTTACAAACATACATGAAACAGACACAAAGAACACCCAGACTCAGAACAACAATTTGACCCATTCATGATCGAACCCACCATCCTTAGCGTAGCAGGAAGAGGCGTGGCGACCGCTTAAATCACTACACCATCCGTGCAGTTGATTTTATTTTTATTCTATCACACAAAAAGTTATTTTTTATTTTCTTTACCAATACTATACTACAATGTATACTACAATAAAATTCATGACTACGACGACGTGTTGTCACAATTAAATGTTGTCATTACGACATTTTATCATTGTGACGTTTTTTACCCACGTCATTTTAACAATCCGACTTTATAAGTAATAGAGCAAGAGCCCGTGAACCCCAGACCTTCGTTATTTTATAAAAGCTGAAAGTTTGTCAGCGCATACTCCCAACACAGGTAAGAACGATGGACCATTATGAAGTTTGGGTTATCGTGGCTTCGGCAGGTAAACGGTACTAAAGGTGTGTAAAATACCGATCTAAATTCATCAAATAATAAAGTGTGATTTTTTGGTATTACCTTCAGAATATTACTAAAAATCACGTTATTGCATGCCAGACACTTAACATCGTGGCAACCCCTTGCCAGACACCGTTAATGTTCATAAAATTATAATTCTACTTATGTTATAGTATAAAAGCTGATTTTTATATATAATACTTAGGTAATAATTAGATGATGTTTCCTCATTAGCCAGACATTTTTGATAGTTCCAACCCCTTGCCAGACAAGCATGTAGGGTAGCTGTAGGAGCGAGCGCGAGACAGTATTTGTATGGGTGGGTGCGTTTCAAAATTTTAAACAAGCTCTGGTGGATTTTTTGATTTTGCATTGGGCCAGTGATGAAATAATACCTTTTATTGGAAATAAAACTATTCACATAAATTCTAAACAGTGCCATTCTTTAGTTGTTAATGCTTCTAACAATGTAGTAACAAGGGTTGTAGAAGAGTTATCATGTCCAAAACATGAAGAGGCTGTGCCAAATCAAGTAAATATTGTGATCAGAAGTGTCGACACTGACATTGCAGCTATCATGCTTGGTCATATGCACCATCTACAAAATAATTCACTTATTTGGATGTTGATAGGCACTGGGAATAACTTGAGATACGTAAACCTCACAGATAAAGTTAGGAAAATCTTTTTGCAAGAGCTTACCAGGATTCCATGCGATCACAGGTTGTGATTATAATCTTGCATTTTTCCGAAAAGGAAAGTTGAGGCCTTTTAAAATATAAAAAAAAACGGAAGAGTATCAAAAAGCTTTCATTAAATTTGGTAAACATTAATTATTCGAAAATAATAATGAACAACAAAGCACTTTTGATAAGTATTATTCAACGGTTTATATGTGAGGTATACAATGTCGGTTCGATAACTGATGTTGATGCAGCACGGCTTCAACTATTCATTAAGACATATCAGGTCTCAGATATTAAGGAAGCGTTTAGCCGTAAAAAACTACAAAATTTTGATGCTAGCAGTCTGCCACCGTGTAAATCCGAGCTGCTACAACCATTTCTGCGAGCCAACTATTATAACATTTGGAATAATGCAAATCAGCAAATTCCAACAATTTATCAACCCGAGAATAATGGTTGGGTTCTCGAAGATAATCAGTACCATTTTAAATGGTTCGAAGGTGATTAGTTGCCAAATTTCGTCAGAGAATCACTGGAAACTGTCTCAGGTATGAATACTACTTCAAACCATTATACATTATTTTTAATATTTTCAATCCCATTAGCTTTTTCATATTTTTACAGAAACTGACGAAGAAGAAGACGACGATATCGAATGGAGTAACTGTTAAGGTCTCGGTGTTAGATGATAAATAAAAGTGGACTGTATGTTGCGCTGGTTTTTAATGTTCACAAGGGGTACGTTGAAGGAGCAGTGATCCCGTTCGAGTTTATAAAGCGAGTGGGAGTACACAATAGTAATCTTGGTGGGAGCCGTTGCGTCCGCACCCTCGTTTGCTAGCGGTTCAGCCGCTTGAAAGCACCGGCAAACCGTGATGTCGAGGATCGAGGTTTGATTCTCGACAGTAACAGTGACAAAGAAAATGATACTTTATAATAACTTGTAATGTCATTAATCTATTTTAATTAAATTTTTGAGTGTTATTTTATTTGGTTTTTTATTTTTATAACCTGTCATTGACAGAATAAATTTAAATTTTTAACAATTTAAGATAGTTGTAGCATCGAATGTCTTTTCTTAAGATGTTTTTAAAATTTACACAGATTATTAGTTATATAAATCTGTGCCAAAAAGTTTATTTGCATGTCTTCTAAAGATTTACATGCTTGTCTGGCAAGGGGTTGGAACTATCAAAAATGTCTGGCTAATGAGGAAACATCATCTAATTATTACCTAAGTATTATATATAAAAATCAGCTTTTATACTATAACATAAGTAGAATTATAATTTTATGAACATTAAGGGTGTCTGGCAAGGGGTTGCCACGATGTTAAGTGTCTGGCATGCAATAACGTGATTTTTAGTAATATTCTGAAGGTAATACCAAAAAATCACACTTTATTATTTGATGAATTTAGATCGGTATTTTACACACCTTTAGTACCGTTTACCTGCCGAAGCCACGATAACCCAAACTTCATAATGGTCCATCGTTCTTACCTGTGTTGGGAGTATGCGCTGACAAACTTTCAGCTTTTATAAAATAACGAAGGTCTGGGGTTCACGGGCTCTTAGACTATAAGAGAGTATCGAGAAGGCGATGTTTGACCATAGTAGAGCTTTTTGAATACCTCTACGACTGGCGATTATTAACTGACTACGGCAAATTAAATGATGTGAAATCCGATTCTTCATAAAGCCTTCATAACTTCAGTTTTCTCGATTTTGGAGGACCTGGAAAAAGTTATTTAATTTTAATTAAAATTAAGAATGTTGGAGGGGTTTTAGGAAGTTTATGCTATAAACAATGTATACAAATAAATAAATTTAAATCGGAGTGTCTGTTTGTAATATTATTACCACAGCTTTTTTTTATTAAATGTGTGACGACTTTCACACGCAGTGAAACAAAAACTTACTCCACTGTCATCTAACGAAGACACACCGAACTACGGAGTATCTGATAATCCTGTATCACGATATGAAAAGTTTTGACGCATTCCTTTGTGTTGGAGGGACATGACACCCGTTTCTCTAAAAAATTATCTGTTATATAATGCACCTGATAAATGTTTACACAGGTTTAGCAAAATTGTAAAAGACAGGTATTATTAATCGTAACTAATATTATAAAGCGGGAGGCAGCTGGATGACGGTATGACGCGGGACAGCACTGCTTGGCGTGCTCATGAAGACCCCCATGTCAATAAAAGACAGGTGAACGGTGTTTGTTTTCTCACTCACTGCTCTGATCGGCCGCAGCGCGACGGTAAATACCATATAACATTCCTCAAGATTTTGGTTACCAAATGCAAAACATACTTTTTATCTGACTCCAAAGAAGAAGGAGGTTTTCAACTCCGTTAAAGTCTTTTGTTACGTTTGTTACCTCGAACTCCGTTATAACAGATTTGTAAATTATTTCGAAAGGTATACTTCCTATTTGGTCCTATTTAAATTTGCTGGAAACTACTATCACTAAAGGATTAAGGAATGAAAAATACAGTTAAGTACAATTAATAATAATATTTCGAACATCTAGCACACAACGCCATCTGGTTTCAAACTTAGCAGAGCTTGTACTATGAAAACTAGATTGACTGATAGAATATATATGCTATAACATATATAACATTCTATATATGTTATAGTTTTAATAAATTACATTTTTAATTTCTGTGCATCTACAACGTCTGACTGCGTCGCCCTAAGGTCGACTGGTAGAAAATGCCTACGGCATTAAGTTCGTCTTTGCCACATTTGTGCATAAAGAATAAATATTACTATTTTTTTTAAATACATACATATTATACATAGAAAACATCCAAACTCCGTAACAAATATTTTGCAGATCATACAAACATTTGGTCCGACCCGGGTATCGAAACCGAGACCTCAGCACAGCCTTGGCATATGCTACCACTGAACCACCAGGCAGTTCATCACAATGCAGGCGCATTGAAGTTGATCATACAATTTTGGAAGGTCAAAATAGTATCACCGATTCAAATCAGACGACCAGGTGCAATTCAGACGACCGGGTTTATGTTGTATCGACCAAAAACGAACTCTTCAGATATTTTTTAAATATATAAAAAAATCGATACATACTTGCCAGCCAGCATCTCCTGAATCTCCTGGAAACTCTTCCCCTTCGTCTCGGGCACGAAAAAGAGTGTGAAGAAGAATCCGCACGCGCAAAATACTCCGAACATTAGGAATGTCATCCCCATGCCTATTGCCAATGCGATTGGACTGAAGAATCTGCAGAAAAGAAGAATAAGAATGGTTTAAGAATTTATATTTAACTACTAGCCGTAGCTGATCTCCTATATAAGTGAATATAGTTTTTTTAATATGTAAAGTATGTAACAGGAATCCGAGAAAGTGCGTGGTATTTGATTTGTGTTATAAGTTTGTGTGTCAGATGTCACACATGATAATATACAATTTACGTGTGGTGACGGGATTAAGAATACGGAGTGTCACCACCCCTATTCATCCCGTGGGTGTCGTAAGAGCCGACTAAGGGAAAAAACTACACAGAACAACAGCACTATACCAACCCGTCTGGCTAGCGTGGTATAGTAGGCCTAAACCTCCTTTCTAAGGAGAGGCCTATGTACAGCAGTGGACTGTGAAAGGCTGTTGATGTGATGATGATGATGTTTATTTGCGTCTTCTTAGACTATAGCTCATCAGTATTTCAACATCAGCATCTTAGTCAAAAGACGTCCACTGCCGGACACAGGCAATAATAACCGGTCCTGTCCTTAGGTCATGGGAAGCGGTTCACGCTTCCCATGACCTTCATCAGGTTGTCGGACTACTTTGTAGGGTGGCCTACCCACGCTCCGTCTTCCGGTACGTGGTCGTGATAATCAGTATTTATTTTACTAATATCGAGTGGGATCTGTGCAAGTATAACCAATAATATGTACCGGGTGTTAGATTACAATTGGATAAACCTTCAGTACGCAAATTTTGCCCTCTAAAAGTCACCAATCGAAGGTCATCGATAGCGATTTATTCTGCTGTTCCGGTACTTTTTTAACACCCTTTAGAAATTAAAGCATTCACTACCAACAACCATTAGGTGTTGCTAAGAAAAAGTAAGTGCATTTTAAATTATGTTACTCAACAGACAAATGAACAAACAGAGTACAGATTATTTACCTCGTGACTAAGAAAGTCAAAATCGAGCAGAAAGCCGTAGCGATGGGAGCTGCGGTGGCCTTAACTTCGATTGGAAAGAGCTCGGACATGACGGCCCATGGCAGAGGCCCCAGGCCCCAGCAGTACGTCACTATAAACAGGACTAAAGCCACGATCGGCAGGAAGCCGATACTCTCCACTACAGGATTTTCATTTTCAGCAAGGATAAAGTACACTGCTAAAAGACCCTGAAAGAGAAATATACATTTGGATAAACTTTGTTAGTACTGGGACTGGAGATAAAGAATGGTGTTTTATGAGATGTGAAACTTCATTGCGCCATGAAGAATCTTCAGTTAGTAAATGTCAATTACCTACGTGTTGGAACGGGCTTTATATCCCTCCTAACAAAAGGAAGTGATGCGACCAGACTAGGTGATGCCAGGGTGGCCATGGCGAAACGGTTTTAGTTTGGTGTGTCTTAGTTAGATTCTATTGAGGTATGTTTTTGTGGAATGTATGTAAAGGGTAATCGAATATTAACATGCTTTTATTAGCTATACTTCTAACTACGGCCCCTTCGCGTTAAGAAATTAGTGACGCATTAAGCCCCGCACCTGACCAATCAAGTTTCAAGCTTTCGTACGAAACGATTATTTCTTGGAACCTGAGTGGTTTGGAAAACGAATCTTGAATTTAAACTTACTTTTAACTGTCGTATCGAAACGAAATGTTGTTTAGCATCTTCGCCATCTTGAAACTGACAGATGGTAAACCTAGGAGATGGACAGCCACTCGAGTTTGAGCTCATATTATAGTACCATAGTAATGATGGTCTGACCATTAAGTTCTTCTTTCCTGGCAAGTAGTTGCGCTAGATTTCTTTTTTTATAAGGATACTATCAAGATGACTTACTAGTCCAATACTGGTACCACAACTTGAAATGAGCAGCAGGGGACGACGACCAAGTTTGTCGGCCGCAAAGGGGGTAAGCGAGGATGCAAGCACCTGTAACATGAGGACACTTGAGTAATAAAATAATATGGCAGATTTCTAAGAAATAATATCGACAATACTTGTCTATGGCAATGATTTTATCGTTTAACTTGATTTTGTATGGAATACTAAGGTATGCGTCACACCTATATGACGATTTGATTTTTAAAAGTTAAATAACAACATTAAAATAAACAAAAATTTCAGTCTTTCAGGATTGAGGATGAATTTAAAAAAAACAGGGCGTCTCCGGGAGTTCTGACAGAAGTAAGAACTTCAATTATTTATTTTTTATTATAACAGGAAACTTATGTGATAGTGTACTATGTATGATAGGGTACGATAGGGTTGGCGTATCCTTGTCGATAAAAACTCCTTATTCAAAAAGAAAAAAACATGTTTTTTTTTCGATTTGAAAACTGTGTCGGTAATAGTAACGGTGTCGCGAGTTCAATGGCTTTTCCACTCTCAAAAATAAATTCTTTTGTTTGTTGTTCAAAAATGCCCAACGTGCCTAAAAAAGTTTTCACTCCAATAAGCTTGTGCAATATTCTCTTAACCTGCATTGCTCCAACAATAATAGCCGAAATGGACGCATCAAGGCTGGCTCCGGCTTCTGAGAAGATATTGCTCAAAAAGAAGAGCACAGCGTTGATACCGCTGACCTGCTGCAGGAGCATCAACGTCAACGAGATGTATAACGCCTTGAAATTGCTTCCACGGAATACATCGGCGAACTAAAAATAAAGGAAGGTATTTTCACTTTATAACCAGTGCGCATTTCCATGCTGATCGCTCTTGATCTAAGGCTCAATAGGTAGGTATCTGCCATCTTTTCTGATTTGTCAATAATGGTCACGGTAGTTAAAAATCGCCGAAATGAATTAAGCATATCATACGAAAGAGAATCGAAAGCCGCTAGTTATTATTTAATATTTTTATCACAAATATTTAAAATTTCTATAATTTTTGAGTATTTGTTATAAAATTAATAAATTGATATATATATTTATTTAATATATCTATAAGTAATTAATCAATGTAAGAGCATTCATTCCACATTCATTGAAAATTTAGTTTCAGATTTGTGAACAGGGTTTGGGAAATCTCGACATTTTGGGCAGTCCCCGACACACGAGATAATTTAAAAATCCCAGACATCTTGGGACTTTTCAGAATGACATTTGACAAAATGAATGAACCCTGATACTTTCTTTGAGATAAAAACATCATTACATCGAGTATCAGTTAGAGAAAACTACATAAAAATAAAACAGTCGTTTCAAGATTAGACGGAACAAACATACTAACAGATAAAATTGAAAAGTCTTTGTTTTTTTATAAAAGCTATCATGCAAGTATTCATATGTATTAGGTTTACCTAAACCTGCTTTGCCTAAACCTACCTGCTTTTTAAAGCATTCGCGTCGCCAAAACAGTTTAAAGTGTTGCCATCGACAAGATAAGAAGAAGTAAAAAGATGTTATTTTTGCATTATCAACACTCACTTCAATTTACTTATTTCTAGATACGTCGATGACTTTTAAACATTAAATCAATTCAATATAATTTCGAGCAGTCTTGACTTATCTCTAGTCTTGATGCGTAAGTCTCGGGGCCCGAAAAAATGAAATTGATTAAAATACTTTGAATCCAACGCTATTAAACATGTAAGTTTCCTGCAATTGCTACTGGAGCGCGTTCAGAAACGTTTTCTTTGGCACCTTGCATTATGCGAGGGGAAAATTAAACAGCTGTCGTCGTACAACTCACGTCAGTAATACTTCAAGATGCCACCACTGTTGGTGCAGAGGGTGATAGCGGATGCATTGTTTGAATTTAAACTTCTGCGTAATCAAATTAGTTGCCCTTGCTTGATTTGATTAGATTTCGGACTCCATCTAGATACGTAGTACCCTTACGTAGAACAGTTTTGGGTGCTAACTCGCCAGTTCCCAGACTTTGCAAAGTAATCCACGGCTGCAGTATAGTAGATGTTTATAGCGATAACCTTGGAAAATTTTACAGTACTACTGTCAATTTTTATAAATAGATTACTTAATTTAAAATTTAAAGTATTGATGAAATTATATTGAATTGATTTTATTAATTCATTGTACTAAGTTCCCAATTTATTTTCGTCATTATTAAAAAAAAAGGTTATAATATTATTGTTATAATATTATTTCTCTAATTTAAGATTCAGGTATTCCATTTTTAAACTGTAAACCGTCGTAATATTCTAAGCATGCGGTGTTAATCTTTAATGAATTGTTACAATTACGAGTTATGTTAGTAATAAGTTTGCAAATAAAATGTAAGGGGCAGAGTAAACAATTGTATGTTAGCCATAAATAAAATAAATTTCAACCGCGTCTAAATTCACTGATCCGCACTTAGAGGAGAATTGGGGCTATCGAAAGAAAAAAAGTTGTTTGTTAATAATTGGTATTCGAGTTTTAGAGATTAGCGCAACCAAAAAGACAAACTCCTCCTTTGGTATACCTACCGTGGCAGTTTTAGCCATAGACATTTGAATTTCTCTCTCCATTTTGTCAACCTCACTTTTCACGGCTTCGTGAGAACGACCGCGAATTTTGGCCAGACACTCCGTTGCAGCTTCCTTATTACCTGCGAAATTATACTTACTTATACTGTATTCGTACTGATACACTTGAAATGTTTATGCTATGCAGATGATCCTTAAAATATATCATCATCAACAGCCTATGATAGCCCACTGGACATAGACCTCTCCTCTGAAAGGAAGTTTTGGCCTACTATACCACGCTGGCCAGACGGGTTGGTATAGGGTTTGTTTCAAGTTTTCCTTCTCTTTGCAGTGCTGTTGTCTTGCGTAGTTTTCTCCCTTAGTCGACTTTTACGACACCCACGGGATAAATAGGGGTGGTGACATTACGTATTCTTAATCCGTCACCACACGGAAAGTACCTTAAAATATATACTGAAAAGTAAGACTGCTTGTCACTTTAATGTGACATTGAAGTAATTGACAAGGCTAACATTAAAAATAAAATATAATTTATTTATTTTCTTTGTCACTGCGGAGAAGCTGTTGTTTTAACAAGCTGATTGTTAGTTTGTTTACGTTTTAACGCCTAAATCAATAATCCGATTTAAAAAATCTTTTCACTAATGGAAAGTTACATTATCAGCGAGTAACATAAGGATACTTTTTAGCACGATTACCGACAAACGGCGGAGCCTCGGGCAAAAACTAGCTTTTAATATACTAACGAACAGCGCCGGCTTGGCACGGGGTCAATGTGGATAGGTAGGTACCACTAATGTGGTTTCAGTGTGAGGTAATTAATAAGCTATTATTATGACAACACTATATATTACACGACATCTTTATATGCAATATTTGTAGCTCCGCTTCTGCCGGCCGCTGCCACCCAGGACGGACGTACGTCCCGACGCGGCGACGTGACAACGGCCGCGTAGCCCTCATATTTTTAATCTCTGATATCTACTAAGATATTCATTCAAAGACAATTTAAATTTACGAGTAAATTTAATGCACAATGTACCTAACGTATTTATTTGGATAAGGAATAATACTGTATTGTTCAAAATAGTTTAGTAAATTACCCATTATTTATAGTAATATGTAAATATGATAAAAATGGTTACTGTGGGTATCTTTAGGAATTCCCGCAGCGGGCGGAGCACACACCCCCGTCGATGGCTGCATCAGCCGGAGACGACGGGGGCAGCGAGGCTGATGTTCCGCCCGTCAGGGAATCGGAGTTGGGGGCGGCTGTTCTACGGATTAGATCCAAGAACACTGCCCCCGGGCCGGACGGGGTTCCAGCCCGAGTGATGGCCCGAGCCCTCGACTACATGTCGGACCACCTCAGGGGGGTGTTGGACGCTAGCCTGGCGTCCGGACGCTTCCCTGAGCGCTGGAAATGCGGGAAGCTGGTCCTGCTGCAGAAGCCGGGACGGCCTGCCGAATCGGTCGCGGCCTATAGGCCTATCGTGTTGCTGGACGAGGCGGGTAAACTTTTTGAGAGGGTGCTTTCTGCCCGCATCGTCCGGCACCTTTGCGAGGTTGGCCCCGATCTGTCGGACGCCCAATTCGGTTTCCGAGCGGGGCGTTCGACGATCGATGCCGTAATGCGCCTTAGGGCCGTGACCGAGGAGGCCGTGAGCTGCGGCGGAGTGGTGTTGGCGGTGTCCTTGGACATCGCCAACGCCTTCAATAGTCTGCCATTCAGCTGCATCAGGGAAGCGCTCCGCTACCACGGAGTGCCGGAGTACCTGAGGCGGCTGGTGGCAGACTACCTTGAGGAGCGAACCGTCATGTACGAGGACCGAGATGGCGTCTTGAGACGCAGGGCCATGTCGTGCGGTGTTCCGCAGGGGTCTGTCCTAGGACCACTCCTGTGGAACATTGGATACGACTGGGCCCTACGAGGGCGTCTCCCCCCCGGGCTGGGTGTACTCTGCTACGCAGATGACACTTTAGTCACGGCCCGGGGGGCTAACTTCCAGGAGGCGGCGCGCCTGGCCGCCACGGGAGTTTCCCAGGTGGTCGGGCGCATTGAGGCGTTGGGATTACGGGTGGCCCTGGATAAGACGGAGGCCCTATTATTTCATGGGCCCCGTCGTGGTCCGCCCGCCGGCGCCTCAATCGAGGTCGGCTCGGTCCTCGTACCGGTCCGGGCCCAGATGAGGTACCTGGGTCTGGTCCTAGACGGTAGGTGGCTCTTCGACGAGCACTTCCGACAGCTTGGTCCGAAGCTGGTGGACACTGCCTCCGCCCTAGGGCGACTTTTGCCCAATTTGGGCGGGGCCAGTGTTCCCACGAGGCGGCTGTACGCGGGGGTTGTCCGGTCCATGGCGCTTTATGGTGCACCGGTGTGGGTGGCGGCTCTGACCGCCCCGAATAGGGCGCGCCTCTGGCGCCCCCAGAGGATATTGGCGGTCAGAGCCATACGCGGATACCGCACGGTGTCCACCGAGGCGGCTTGCGCCTTGGCCGGAACACCCCCGTGGGATTTGGAGGCGGAGGTGCTCGCCGAAGTTTATCGGCGAGTGGCTGACTTCCGGGCGGAGAGCGGATTTCGCCCTCCGCCCGAAGACGTGCGCGAGTGGCGCGAAGCCGCTCGCCGAGCCACCATGGTTAGATGGTCGTTCCGGCTGGAGACTCCACGCGCTGGCTTCGCCGCCGTGGAGGCTCTCCAGCCGGTCATAGCCGAGTGGGCAGGGCGGCAGCACGGGGCCCTTTCCTTCCGGCTGACGCAGGTGCTTTCCGGGCACGGTTGCTTCGGAAAGTACCTGCACTCGGTCGCTAGGAGGGAACTGAGTCCCGCCTGCCACCACTGCGACTGCAGTGAGGACTCGGCCCAGCACACGCTGGCGGTCTGCCCCGCATGGGCGACGCAGCGCCGGGCCCTCACTGCAGTCATCGGAGCAGATCTCTCGCTACCGGCCGTAATTCGCTCCATGGCCGGTAGCGACAGTTGTTTTACCGCGGTCGCAACCTTCTGCGAGGAGGTAATCTCGCAGAAGGAGGCGGCGGAGAAGGCCCGGGAGGACGACCTCCACTCGGACCTGATCCGCCGCCGGCGAACCGGGCGGCGGAGGCGCGCTTACCTGCGCCTCATGCCGCCCTGAGTGTGGCCGCGGGTGGACGGGGTGGGTTTCCCCTCCACCCGCATTAGTTGGCCAGCCGCGAGGGGGCGGCGTCCGCGTGTGCCGGACGTCGCCTAAAGAGAGGATAATTGAAGACGGAGCCCGCACCAGGAGCGGGCCGGCGCTGGGAGGGGTCCAGAAGGCGATAACTACCTGGACCCCTCCTAAACTGGAAGCGCAAAGAGGGCACACCGTGTGGTTTTAGTCGGTTCGAGTCCGACACACCACCCCGCCGCAAACCCCGGTGGGGTGACGGTCCGAGGGGATTTCCACACGTTAAAAAAAAAAAAAAAAAAAAAAAAAAAAGGGTATCTTTAGGAGATAGACATAATTTTGATCTATCTTGTAAGGTTTAGCCAGCGTTTGCAATTTAAGCGCACAAAAAAGATCTAAAAGCGTACAAGAAAAAAAGTCAGTTCATTTTATACTATATAATGAAGTATGAATGTATTCTTATAAAGTAATTCTGCTCTATTCGTCTATTCTTATAAGTAGGTCACATGGTTAACAGTGGATCAGTGGTTCACTTCGGATCACACAAGTTTTGATGACAATAAGTGTGAGCGTCTCACGTGCGTCTCCCCAGTGCGTCTGTGACTTCGCAGCACGGTAGACATGTGAGTTTTACATTTATAAATCTCACAGTAAAAGTAACTCTGTTGTAACATTTGTTTGTATTTCTTTTTTCAAATTATGAAAAGGGTTGGTGCACAGTGGATCGTATTGATCGAGTACGTAGTGGCGCTTATCATTTTTCTATTTTTGTGTCATAATCCCCAAACAAAGAGTTGAAAAAAGAAAACTGGGTGCTTATACTGCCCATCAGAAGAAAACTGCTTTAAGGAAAGTAAAAGAACGAAAAAGCATTCGAAGCAGTCGAAAACAATATATAGAAGTTGAACAAAGGTTTATGCCAAAATATTTTCAAATGAACAAGAAAATATACAGAAACAGTATTATTGAAAATGTGCGCTACTTTTTTATGGTCTATCAACTAAAGATTGCTGACAAACAGCATACCAAATGGCGCTTCATAACAACATCAAAATGCCTCAAACTTGGTCTGAACAGAAATGGTAAGCATAGACTGGTTGAGACTTGAGAAGGTATTTGGCAAAGACATCCTGACCTTTCTCTGCGTAAACCTGAATCATGCAGTTTGGCGAGAGCCACGCCATTTAACAATAGGAGACTATCAAAAATTTCTTTGATAATCTAAGAGATGTCCTCAAACGACACCCTAGATTTGCGGATGAAACACAAATATATAGCTTGAATGAAACAGCCACTGCTACTGTTCACAAGGTGCCAAAAGTATTAGCTCCCAAGGGCCACAAAAATGTGATTAACGTCAGTAATGGTGAGAAAGGTATTCTGTGCACTACGTGCAATATTATTGGCGCTGGTGGTAAGAAAATAGAAGACTGTCAGAAACTGATTGTGATGTAATCATAGATACAATCATCATCATCAGCCTATTATCGTCAACTGCTGAACGAAGGACTCCCATGGATACAAATGTTACACTAAATTAAAACTAAAAATTATTTACTTTGTTTTGTTACGTAGATAAAACGTTTTGTTACTTATTTCTAATAAAAAAGTGATTATCCTCAACTTTGTTTTCATTTTGACCTTAGTTTGCCTCTGAATTCTCTTTAGTCTGTGTACCGCTAGATATTCAACGTGTACCCCTCCTAGTACACAGTTCCCGTTTCAAAAAAAAATATTTTTTTCCTTATATCTCAAGTTAAACGCCGTGAAACGTTATTATATTCTCAATGGATCTGCAAATTTTAAATTGATTCCAATATTTAATTTCGGCATTATACTCAATAAAAACACGTGATCCACTGGTGACCATGTGACCCTATGGGTATATATATTGTTATAAAGTACTTCAAATAACTAACCTTTAGTTAAGTGGAAAATAGGTGACTCCGGCATAAAGAAAAAACTGATGCAGAAGACCGTCACTATTGCCAGGCCCAAGTAGGCAATGACGTGATAAGAGACGAAAGGACCAACAGAATACACCATCAGGAAACCCAACGTGATGAACATTTGCAAATATGATCCCAGTGCACCTCGACAGTCATCCTAAAATTAAAAGAAATTTCATTTTTTTTTTATAGTATAAGGGGGCAAACGAGCAGACGGGTCACCTGATGGTAAGCAACTACCGCCGCCCATGGAGACCTGCAACTCAAAAGTTACAAGTGCGTTGCCTTGGAGTCCCTTTCGCTCAAATCAGCGGGAGGGGGGATTTTGGGCTCCGGTAACCTAACTAACTCAGTGAAAGGCGACGAAAGAATTGCTTAACACCGGTTTCAATTATTTATTTCGTCGTTAGCTAACCTATCAATCAACAATTACCAATCCGTGTCCAGCAGTAGACTGCTATAAGTCCACTGCTGTACACAAGTGTCTCACAATGTACCTCGTACACGGTACTCAGCCTTCCCCATTCAGTCCGTCGAGGTCTATTAAGGCCGGTATCGGTCCATCTAGCTAACCTAACAAAATCTCAAATCGATGCCTACATTTACATCATCAAGTCATTTACTTTTAGAACAGAGTAGAACACAAAACAATGATGTATAATTTTTTTTTGTTAAAGACTTCGCCCGCATTAGGAATATATTTTGTGTCGCGGGGAACTTTACAAACATCCATGAAACAGACACAAAGAGTACCCAGACTTAGAACTAGGATTACACAAGGTGTTGTCCCAATTGGGGATTGAACCCACAACACTCAGCGCAGTAGGACTGAGGAGATCATCCGTGCAGTCAGATAATTAATGATTATAAACATTCATGAAATACTTCATGCCCACAGTTGACAGGGTTCTTTAAAAAGTGTACATATATCATGTCCAGACACGTATAATCACCAAGTCATGTTCAATCTCGCTCGAAATCACTAGACTCATAAGGATATATACAATTTTGAAACACACATGGGAGCGTCATGCTTCGGCACAAATAGGCCGCTTGATTAAGAGGGAGGAGGAGTGGGGGGTTCCCACCTTTCCTTATTGCAAATAAAAGTATTAATCCTTACCGTAGCTATTTCAGCGCAGTACATAGTTGATAAGGTGAACGACATTCCAACAGACAATCCCCAGAAGATTCTGCCCGCGTATATCATAGCGACGTTGAAGGTAGTTACGATCAGAATCCATCCGATAATCGCGGGTATGGCACAACTCATTAGACCCCACTTACGGCCGATCGACGATGCAGCGAAGCCAGCAAAAAAAGGACCTGCAAAATGTTAAACTTACATTACAGTTGTGTCGACTCCCAGACAAAGACAAAGAAACAGAAACATACTACAGCGCCATCTTACTAAAACACACCGAATTACGAAGTCACTCCTGAATGAGAATTGCTAATCCTGTATATATGAAGAAATCTCTCGCCGATTAGCATGTATACAACTTCCCAACATTAACCGATAAACCGCGGCCCGCCAGGCATGAACACCTCGGTTGGAGGATCCTCCCTTCGTGTTAGAGGGACATGACACCCGTTTCTCCCCTCAGTAATTAAAAACAAATTGATAGGGTCTATACTTGGCCGTTTGATCATTTCCAACCACGATCTTATGGTGAGTTTTAGGATTACGGTCCAATAAATATAACACGAAGGGGGAAAAACAAGATTTGATGTGAAAAATTTAATGCGCAGAGACAAACCAGCTGTTGGCGTGGCGACGCGTCTCCAAAGCATACGTCGCCACGCTATGTGAACGTAACACGTAATGCGGTATTTTTAGTTGTTTTATATTATTTCCTGTCTTAAGCGATCCTTTTTCAATCATTGTTTCTACAAAATAATTTCGATGTTTCATATTTGCCAGACGTCACGCGATGGCTTAATTTTTTTTCTTTCATTTTAGGTAACTATTTATTGAATGTGTTTAGTTCTTAGCATTGCTAATAGCGTTGTTAATTCTTAGCATTCAAAATTATCACGCAAGACTTGGATATATAATATCATCTAGCTAGATCAACTTGATTTAGAAAACAGTCCCAAACACAGTTATCATCCATTTACTATTTACATAATATACGGTTGGATAAGATTAGATACCTATAAAATATGTGTGATATTGATCAATAGAGGTGTTACAAATATACAGCGAGCTAGACGATTATTATTGTTAAAATCAGTGACACTGGTTTACATATCCCAGGCAACTTCTCAGCAGAGATATCTTAGGGGCAACAGTTTTCAGTATAAAAGATTTTACGACAAGCTTTTTTATCTTTATTTAAATAAACTATACATATGTATACTACAATGTTACATTGCATTTTTTTTTATATTAGTTTTCAGTTAAAATAAATTTATTGTAAGACAAAATTTCAGCAAAATTGGTTGAGGTTAACAGTTAGGTTTAAACTCAGTTGCAAGAATTGCAATTAAAACTTGTGAAATACACATGTGTGTCGGAATCGGACCGACTAAAACCACACGGTGTGCCACTCTGCGCCTGTAATAGGAGGGATTCGGGAACTACTGTTATTAGGATATCCGGACCCCTCGTAACGCCTGCACGCAACGGCGCGGGCACCACCTTCGGGTCTATTTAGGCGAACGTCCGGCACATGCGGACGTCGCTGCCTCGCGGGTGGAAGTTAAGGCGGATGGTGGGGAAAACTCGTCATGTCCATGTAACATCTTCGCAAAAGAATGCAACTGCTGTGAAACAACTATCACTACCGGCCATGGAGCTTATGGTAGCGAGAGATCTCCCCCTATGACTGCAGTGCGGACCCGACGCTGCGACGCAGAAGCCGGGTAAATTGCCAGCTTGTGCTGAGCTGAGTCCTCACTGCAATCGCAGTGGTGACAGGCTCGACTCAGTTCCCTCTTAGCGACCGAGCTCAGGTATTTCTCGAAGCAGCCGTGCCTTTAAAGGACCTGCATCAGTCGGAAGGAAAGGTTCCGGTGCTGCCGCCTTGCCCATTCGACGATGACCGGCTGGAGCGCTTCACGGCGGTTAAACCAGCACGTGGAGCTCCTAGCCGTGGCTCGACGAGCGGCTTCGCACCACTCGCTTACTACTTCGGGCGAGGGCCGACTGCCGCTAATCGCCTGGAACTCAGTCGTCCGCCGATATACTTTGGCGTCACTCTCACAATTTAGACGAATCTAACGACACCGCAAACGCCAAAATCATCAAGTCTTTTAAGTTATGGACCGTGCCAAAGAAATTTACACACATACATACATACGCATACTCGAGAAACATAACTTAGAACGTCGCACTCGCAAATTAAACGGTTTATTCGCAAAACGGCCTACCGGTAATTATTCTGTGTTTACCAAGTGGTGGTGAACATTAAGCCGGCAAAAGATCAGACGGGTCACCGCCCATTGACACCTGTAACTTTACCGCCCTTTAAGTCCTCCCCCCATTATTAAGGGAAGGGGTGGTGTTTAGCTTAACACTGGTTTTCTGTAAAGTTTAAAGAAATAATTTTCCACCGTGATGCTTGATAAACGTACCAAATATAGCGCCTAAGGGGAGCAGTGACGCGATCCAGGCCTCTTCATCTACTGTTATGACGTCATCTAAGGGCGATTTTGTGACATCGCCCAATATCATGTTCACGGGTGATGTCCAGCCCATGGAGTAGCCAACGTTGAAGATCGCGATGTTCGCTGTAAAGAAATAATTTATTATATTAATAATAATAGTTTATGTGTTGATATACACACAGCGTGGCAACGTCTCGATCACATCAGCTATTGAAAAACAAAACTCCATCAACATTGCTTTATTCGTTGGGCAGACAGAAGGACTTATACCACCCCTCTGTTTGCATCTATATCTATACAAATAAATAAAATTGGAGTGTCTGTTTGTAATATTAAAATAACCGCTTTTTACTGAATGCATATGTATGTTTACACGGTACATATGCCAAAATATCATTTTTTACAATTTTTGACTGTCTGTCTGTCTGTTTGTTCCGGGTAATCTCTGGAACGGCTGGACCGATTTCGACGGGACTTTCACTGGCAGATAGCTGATGACATAAGGAGTAACTTAGGCTACTTTTTTTAGACTAACTTCGCCCCGCGGCGTTGCCCGCGGTTATAGCAACAAACGCGGGTAACACCGTGGGTCTCAGCTAGTTGGATTATAAAAATGGCGCCTTTCGTTTTTATTTCTATAAGAATATCTGTATTTAGTAAAACTAAATATTTTAGGTAGTCAGAATAACCTTTCAGGAGCACAAAGGGGACACAGGAGGGGGTCATTTACACGCCGTTGATGGCAAGAGGTACGTCGGGTATCAGGGATTTCCTTCCTAGGGTACACCTGGTTCCCCGGCAACTGGTACCTGAGACGGCGTGTGGTTTTTGGTCGGTTCACGTCCGACATAACCACCGGTGGATGGTATCCGAGGGGATCTCCGCACAGAAAAATAAAATAGGTCGTGAGAATAATAAAAAAATCAACAGTGTCCTAAAGATATGGTGGCACGGAAGTGCCACCGCCTAGGCGAGCCAAGCGAAGCGCAAGGGTGCTACACAACTACTTTTTCTCGACGCGTTTATTAATAAAAACATTTCTGTTATACAATATTTGTTGTAATGACGATTGCCCATATGAACATCAATTAACCTACCGCTACCGTCACCCGCTATTCTCTACCGTCACATGGGCGTAAGGTGAAGAATTTATTCACTGTGCATTACTTTACTGTTATACTATATTTCTTGTAGTAACAGAATGGCTAAGTCATATTTTGACAAGGTGTAGAAATTGTGAAGTTGGGGCTTTTAGAGTTATGGCGTGTAGAGTTAGAAGTTTGGTTCTAGGTGAGATCTGGGCCTCAATTCTGCTATTTTATGTTCACGCCAAGCCACTGTCATACCACTGACACGCTATTGAGATGCCATCGAGTGGCCATTGGCATCGGTATAAATATCGGTAGTCTACACTAACTCAGTGTTTTTACAGTTGCGATGGGATGGCAGTGGCTCATCAGTGGCGATATCAAAAAGATTCCCATATTTGGAAAAATAAATAAATCATGTCCTTATAATTTGAAAATATATTACGTTTTTTTGAGCATTAAATTTATAAAATGGCAGAATTGAGGCCCTGATAACTGTTTGGCAGTGCGAGCCCTATAGTCTCGTCTTGGCAACGTTTTACTAGAAAATATTTTTGGTGGAATATTTACCTGTGTATTGCCATTCTCGGTATATCTAGTTAATAAAGATTAAACATCGTCTTTAACAACCATGAAGCCACCTATTTAAAAGAACGATTTGAGTACCCTTACGATACTCATACGTAGTCCTTAAAATCACTAGAAAATCTGACATTAAAAGTTTATTCCACCACATTTTTTCTCATATTTTTAGGTATGTAACTGATCGTTTGTGGAATTCGTTACCAAATACGGCAAGCTGAAATCCTTATAGCCTATAAAATATGGTTTATTCTATAAACCTATTTCTTAGCGTTCCAAAGCTTCATCGCGCGGGTGCCGGATCCATCGCGTATAGATAATATATGAGAGATAACTCTAATATTTTTTATTAGAGTTATAAGATTAAATAATAAAAAACTTCTGTTATTATGTTCACCTAAAGATTGTCCACTAGATATTGTTATGATAATATTGTATTATAATTATTGTAAGATAAGATATTATTTTGTTTCAATGGTATGTTGTCTATACAAATAAATAAAATTGAAGTGTTTGTTTGTAATGTAAAAATAATCGGTTCTTTTTCATGCTGACACAGTTGTTTGCTCGATACTCGTACCTATGCCTAAAAATCACTTTAAATATTTTTTGTCTGTCTGTCTGTCTGTTCCGGGTAATATTCAAGACGGTTGAACTGATTTTGATAATATTTTACTTCCAGGTAGCTGTCTATATAAAGAGTAACTTAGGCTATTTTTTCTCTCAGAAAAATCCTTTAAAATTTTGCCTGGTCCGCGAATGGAATCCACTAAGGTAGCGCTTTTCAAATTCCACTCGAACGAAGTCACGGGCACCAGCTAGTGACTAATATATGTACAATCAATCAACAGTCTATTTGTCATTAAGTATCGGATAACTTCAGCACTGATGACAACATGTCGATAACTTTGGATTCTTCATAATTATGCTGATTTCAAATACTATACATACATATAGTATCAGCACCTATTTTGTATGTTTCTTTTTACATATATAATGTAAATAGGTATGTGTACTAATAAATGCGAGTTCCTAACAGTCCAATCTATTTATTTATTGTTTTCTGAACCTGGGATCGAGAAAATATTGTTACTTCATTAGAGTACTTAAAAGATGTTTCGTCTTTGAACCGCCCACTTGTTTTTCAATTTTGTTTTATTTTTTTATGAAACAAGCTCTCAAACATTCGAATTTTAAATGTCAGACAGACATTTAAAATTCGAAAGTGAGTCTGGCCTGGCCTGGCTCTGTAAGACTGGCCTGTTGGTCTAGTGGTAAGTGACCCTGACAACTAATCGCTAATAATCCTCCTCACTTATCTTTATTCGAGGTTACAACGCACACACGTAAGTCACTGCTAAAATAATATTACTAACTTTATTAACAACGAACTCTTACTATAAACAAAAATATGTATGTCTATATAAATACATATTATAGCAATATTTTTTCAACGTATCCTATCCTATGCTACCCTTTTTTTTTTTTTTTTTTTTTTAACGTGTGGAAATCCCCTCGGACCGTCACCCCACCGGGGTTTGCGGCAGGGTGGTGTGTCGGACTCGGACCGACTAAAACCACACGGTGTGCCACTCTGCGTCTGTAATAGGAGGGATCCGGGAACAGCTGTTATTAAGACATCCGGATCCTATGCTACCCTATCCTATCCTATTTTGCCTCCGCCGTTGGACAACTGCAACCTAAGAGTCACAAGTGCGGTGCCGCACTTTGTGTCCCATCCCCACAATCATTCTGGGCACCGGCAACCTCATGTGTTTTTGTTTATTTGTGAAAAGTGATAACATAACTTTGTAATAGTAGTTGTGTGGTGATAATTCCGTTGTATTTTGTTTAATTTTTTGTGTTTATTACGATGGAACTCCGTCAGTTAGGTATGAACTGATTTGAAAATTGAGCTCCGGTAATCTAACTCACTTGGTGAAGAGCAACGACGAAGTTGCTGAACACTAGTTTGCTGAGAGGCCGTGGTATCACTACGGTTGAGCCAGCCCACTTGATCTGCAGCATGGCTCTCCCGCGGCAAAAATATTACGTTATTTTTGTACTCGTAAAGGTATTATTAATTCAACATACGCTGGTATCTTGACATCTACAATTGTATCCTGACCGCGATTTGGTCTGTTTATTTTGGTCCACGAACTTAAAATGTTAAACATGGGCTTTGGTTTCAAAACTTAGAGAATAACACTGGTTGAAATAATTCATGCTAAATAATTTTAGTAGGCTCAGATGCCCAAGATGAAAAATCGAACACATTCTTTTTATTTCCCGCACTTTTTATTTTCGAAATTTCGCATGAGACGAAGACACAAACAACTGAGTATAAATTCACAAATTTTTAAAAACCTTAAACGCACAGATATTAAAAAATATATGGAATTAATTCAAAAAGTGAAGACGTACCGACAGCAGCGATGAGATATTGTCGCCACTCTTGTCCCTTCTCCATTCTGTAGGTGTCGTTGGTTGACTGAAAGCAGTCCGGTCTCGGACGGATCGTATGCGTATTTCCTATCTGTCATACGTCTCGTCACGTCATACGATTATGTATTACGTTATCGCCTGTGAGATTGCAAAGGTGTGTATTAATATTTTCTAAATTTTAACAATAAAAAAAATTTGATTATTTATTTATTTATTTCAATCTTTATGCACTTTGTATGTGCGGTCTTAATGCCCAAGGCAATAAGTCCGCCGATATACTCGCTGCACGCTGAATGCAGCGCAAGCGTTTAACCAGTTTAATTAGGAACGCAAAGCAGACACATGGTCATACTGCCGAAGATTATCTTCTTCCAATCTTAGTTAACAGGATACATTTATGCGAAATGATTTATTTGTAATTTCTTTGCACGATATTTCATGGCAATGTGATAATAATAACCAATATCACAATTATGTAAATATTAAAATTGGTCGTTTTTGTAAGTACAAAGGTAGGCACAGAGGTTACATATTATGACATGTAATCAATGAAAATATACACGGTTGAACATATACATACACATCACATCATAAATATACAGCAGTGGACTAGTAGAGGCTGTTGATGATGATGAAGTACACGGTATTGTAAAGTGCTCTTACGCATTTTTGGAGTTTCATCGACGATATCAGTTGCGTTACCCACAGGGATGGAGGCTGTACGCTCGGTATACACTCGTAGTTCCTTTGATAAATTGTTATAAATGGGATATTCGCCATGTTTATTTTCGGGAAGTAGTTTCCGATAATAATAATAATAATAATTAATTCATCCACGTTCATCGGTGATGAGGTTTTATATATTCCATTAATTGTTCCAGGACAGTCTAATTTTTATTATGGGATTTCCCGATTGTCATAACTCTATGTGTTCGTGGGTCACAGCTGTTGATCCTGGTGTACAAGAGTTACAGTGGTGGGCGTGTGGGAGTGATTAGTACCATATTCCATGAAAATGTGCTGGTCGTGGTTTTCTAAATGCCAGGACCCTCCATAATCTTGAGATATGTAACCTTAGGAATTACTTACTTTCTCTTAATGTGGTTTAGTAGCAGTTGATAATAGACTCACTGAGCTTGGTGTAGGTAAAGAGAACTGGCGCAAGCTTGCAGCACTCAAGATTACTGATGGTAAGGAGATACAGAGGAGCAAAGAGCTGCAGGAACGAACTGGCGTCTGTATTCTGGCTTCGATTCGGTGACCTCTTCGAAGGAACTGAAGGTTTTGCCTATACAATTACTGATGAAGTTGTTATGACGAATAATTATCGGAGGTGTATCCTAAAGGACGGCATAATAGACATTTGTCTGGCATGTCATTGTCCCGGGAAAGCCTCAGACATATAATTTACGGTTGCTCTCGTCATGCCGTCTACTTGCGTAGACATAACGAAATGGCCAGGATAGTCTATCAGCAAGTTGCTCGTAAGTTAACCTTATAACCGTGAAGTTACTGTACTACAAATATGTGCCCGATCCGGTTCTTGAAAATGGTCGTGCAACGTTTGTTGTAAGAGGACTATTGTTGCCAATAAACCAGTTATGGTTGTAATAGACCGCTTAGAGCGCTGAGCAAAGATTGTTGACATTAACATTCCAGATGACTACCATGTCTTGAAAGCGAAAAAGATGACCAAGTAAAGTATTTGGATTTGGCCCACGAGATTGTCGACATGTGCGATGTGGATTCGGCAATCATTGTACCGATAGGCATGTCGATACATGCCTCATGCATGCTAAGAGCCTCGACCAACATCTACAGAGGCTCGCGTTAGACAACTAGGTTAAGGGCATGATGTAGAAAGCAGTTTTTCCGATACGGCACGTATTGTGAGGTTTCTCTGGAGTCCTAACACTTAAATGTATTTTGTTTTTTGTACATAAATATATGAATAATAGTGTTTTATGTGTATTTAACGAAAAAAATATAATAATAATAATAAAAAGTAGCGAAATAATAGTTCAAAAGCGGTTTTCTGTGAGATCCTGGTATCAATCCGCTCGTGCCGAATAATGCTCTCACAATCACTACGGAATTATGCAAAAAGCAAGAAAATGTATTTGATTTTATGATAAAAAAGAGTTAGATTACATTTAGATTATACAGATTACACAGGCAATGTTATGGCTAAAAGGAGCGCTCCAATAATATGATAACTAGATGAAAGTAACTCCTTTTTACTATTTTATTTAGATCTTTTAATAAAACTGCTAAATTTGGAAGCCCGCAATGTTTGAGCTCTTGTCACATCACATCACATCAACAGCCTTTAATAGTCCAGTGCTGGATATAGGCCTCTCCTTAGAAAGGAGGTTCTTTTAATTCATTGTAAATTTTGTGGCAAGGACAAGGTAGTGTTAAGGAAAAACATGTTTACCTGACGAATATCCTAGGGCTGCGAATAACTTAACAGTTGTCTGGGCTTAAATTCGGAAAGGAAGGAAGTCGGGCTTTTGTAAGGTAAAACTCGCTTTAAAGCGATTAATGACAATTATATGATACTTCTTCAAGAAAATCTAATATATAAAATTCTCGTGTCACGGTGTGCGTGGTTGAACTCCTCCGAAACGGCTCGACCGATTTTCGTGAATTTTTTTATTTATTTAACTTAATGCACTAGTTGTACACTGGCGGACTTAATGCCCAAGGCATTCTCTGCCAATCGACCTTCGGGTGATGTAGAAAAATGATGCTGTAGGTGCAAGAGAAAACAGAGAATTTGACTTGTTTATATTAAGCTTATCAATGTAGGATAAATCTAACTTACATATACACTACTAATATAAATACTATAAATAAAATACTATATTCATAACTACATATATACATAGAGGTCTCAAGTATACACATACAATACATGAACATACACATTTATAAATACATGAATATCAAAATACATAGTCGGGTACTAGCGATGTGACCTTTCTGCCAACTTATTTTGAAGAAGATCTTGTACTTTCTTCTTGAACGTAAACCGGTTAGTGAACATCCTGATCCAACTGGGAGCGCATTCCAGAGAAGAACTGACTGTACATAGAAGGAAGAATTGATGAAGTTGGAAGTGTGAGGGGGCAAAGAAGAAGCATATTATTTGTTGACCGAAGATTTCGGTCGTGATTGGAGCAAAGGAGGCGGAGATGGGGAACCAGGTACTCAGGTACCGATGGGGAATTAAGAAATGAAAAAAGATATGTTAGTGCGCGCAGACTGCGGCGTTGACGAATCGGGAGCCATTTCAGTTGGGAAAGTAAAGCAGACATATGGTCATACTTGCGAAGATTAAAAACAAATCGAATGCAGTTATTAAGAAGTCGGTCTAGTTTATTGAGGAGTTCTGCATTCAGGTCAAGATAACACACATCACCATAATCGATTAAGGGAGTAATAAGGGACTGCATAAACGTAGCCTTGGTTTTAGTGGGCAGAAAGTTCTTGAGACGATATAAGGCGCGACGACATGTAGTGACTTGCTGGCTGACGTGGGTGACTTGTGCTCTCCAGTCAAGTGTCGAGTCAATATGTAGCCCTAGGTTCTTAACCACTGGGCTCAGAGGTATGATTATGTCATTAAAAACAACTGGTGGTATGGCCGTCATGTCCAACCTACTTAACATCAGTTTGCTATCTATGACGATCACTTGACATTTGGTTGGGTTAACCGACAAACCAAACCTCATCGACCAGCCCCTTATGAAGTTTGTGCATATCGGGCAGGTCTGAGAATCGGCCAACATCTATTTCTCATAGCCCTAATATTTTTTTCACATTTTTTTTTAAATAATGTATATGGCAAAACAACGTTTGCCGGGTCAGCTAGTATGTTCTAACTTTTTATTTTAATAAGAAAAGTAAAAGACTAAAATATCTCTACAAATATTAAACTTGAGAGCTCTTAGGTTTATCTAAGTAGTATAGGGGATGATGTCCCAACCCGTCTAGCCAGCGTGGTATAGTAGGCCAAAACGTCCTTTCTAAGGAGATGCCTATGTCCAGCAGTGGACTGTTAGAGGCTGTTGATGATAATAGGGAATGAAGATAGATGGATTGAAAGAGTAGCTGGTAGAGCCTGCACAGAATAGGAGAAAATGGGAACTGCTGTAAGAGGTCTATACCCAGTAAAGGGCCATAGTTTAGATACATTATCACTATTTTAAACTCTTGTTGCGCTATCCTCTCTTCTATCTTAGGATTGCTCCTAGAAGAGAGGAACGAGGAACCTAGGAAGAGAAATTATGGGTTAAGCTCGCCTTTGTGCACACTATTCTTTTGAGTATTTTTGTAGTGTAATTTCTTTAGAATCGTTGTGATTTGAAACTCGATGAAACGAAAATGCGTCACGATAAAGAAACAAACACATAAGTGTATAGGATTAAGTCGGCGAGAGAATGAGATAGAATACATTACACATTATTTTTAATATAATATTTTGAGCGTGAATATTTTTATCTTTTTATTTAGTCGGAATGGTATGAGCGTGTAATTTGAAAAAACGCTGCCTTAGTGGCAAAATTTTATAGGGTTTTTCTGAAAAAAAAGAAAAAGAAGAATAGCCTAAGTTACTACTTACATAGGCAGCTATAGTAGTAGGTAGTCAAATATTATCAAAATCGGTATAGCCGTTTTGAAGATTACTCGGAACAAATAGACACAACAACAATAGACAAAACTCGGAACAACAAACAGACTGCACGGATGGCGTAGTGGTTTAAGCGGTCGCCACGCCGCTTCCTACTACGCCGAGTGTTGTGGGTTCAAACCCCACATGGGACGACACTTTGTGTGATCCACAAATTGTTGTTCTGAGTCTGGGTGTTCTTTGTGTCCGTTTCATGTATGTTTGTAAAGTCCCCCGCGACACAGGATTTATTCCTAATGCGGGCGTTGTCTTTTTAAAAAAAAACAAAAAAAAAAAAACAAAAGAGACAGACAGACAGACAGAGAAGAAAACCTATTATTTGACATTAAAAACAGACACTTAAATTTTATTTATTTGTATAGTTTTTTTTTTCGGATGTATTACTTCTGCCGTGTGTGAATGCACACACACACACTTTTTCTGTAAATGTTTGTATTGAGTACATTGAGTTCGTGTGGTGACGGATTAAGAATACGGAGTGTCACCACCCCTATTCATCCCGTGGGTGTCGTAAGAGCCGACTAAGGAAGCAAACTACACAGGACGACAGCACTGCTAAGAGAAGGAAAACTTGAAACAAACACTATACCAACCCGTTTGGCCAGCGTGGTATAGTAGGCCAAAACCTCTTTTCTAAGGAGAGGCCTATGTCCAGCAGTGGACTGTTATAGGCTGTTGGTGGTGGTGGTGGAGTACATAAAAATAAAATAAATAAATATATTGGATTGTTTTATGATTTAGGAGGACAAACGAGCCGGGCACGCCGTCATCGCGGCGGTAAGACCCGTTATGGAGGATTGGCTCGAGAGGCGTCACGGGACCCTCTCATACCGATTGACGCAGGTGATCACTGGGAAGGGATGTTTCGGGGATCACCTGTGTCTGATCCGCAAGGAGCCAACGCCTGAGTGCCACCACTGCGATGGCCAGACCGTGGACACGACTCTCCACACGCTGGCAGAGTGCACGGCGTGGGTTGAGCAGAGGCGAGACCTCGTGGCGGCCATCGGAGTGGGAGTTCTCTCGCTCGATAGCCTGATTGCGGCTATCGTGCGGAGCGAGAGTGCGTGGAACTCTGCCGTCTCCTTCTGCGAGCAAGTTATGCTCGCGAAGGAGACGGCGGAGCGGACCGTGAGAGGTTTAGGACTCTCCCGGCCCGCCAGGCCCGGGAACGGGCCAGGTACCGCAGGCGACTCAGGCGCCGGAGGTCGCAGAACGACCTCCGTCCTCCATAAGCGCAGGCCTGGGGGTGACAGGTGAGGCCATCTGTCGCCCTAGCAGAAGCAGGCCGGGGTGGCGGCGAGCGCGTTGCGAAGCGCGCTCGCTTCCAGGGAGCACAGGGAACATGGGGTTCCCACACGGGGGGGGGTCGTCTACTCGTCTGTAGATGACCCGAGGTATGTCGGGGCACCAGGGACTTCCTTTCTAGGGTATACCTGGTTCCCCGGCTATTAGTACCCGGCGACGGCGTGCGGTTTTAGTCGGTTCGAGTCCGACATGCCACCGACAGGTGGTATCCGAGGGGATTTCCGCACGGAAAAAAAAAAGGACAAACGAGCAAACGGGTCAACTCTAATCAACTCAAACTCTAAAAAACGCACGTGCTTACTAACTTAAAATATTATCGTCTAACTTTGAAAGAGATTGAAGACCTTATCAAAGTCGGTGATAATACTAATGAAGATTGATTTTTTTAAATAATTGCACAACATTTGCAAACCAATCGAAATACCGCCGGATAGATCAGGTAATTGTATCAACATACATATTTTTGTGTACCGTTTGTCAAAATAAAACAGTTATTATGTAAAGACGCATTGTTATACTACGAATTATTACGTTGGCTTGTGATAACACGCACAGACAGCATTATCAGTTAATGTTTATCGAAAGCACAAGATAAATAAACAATGGTGTGTAGAAATGTCCATGTGGTGATGGATTAAGAATACCTATTCTCATTCGTGGCTGTCGTAAGAGCCGTACTAAGGGAGAAAACTACGCAGAACAGGAGAACGCCCCTTCATGGGCGGCGGTAGTTACTCAATAACAGGTGATTCAAGTACCCATTTACCCTTCTTTATGATAAAACATTTACGAAACTCGCTTAGGGAGCTTTTTTTTTATATAAGAGACAACGCCCGACTTAGGAATATATCCTGTGGGACTTTACAAACACACATAAAACGGACACAAAGAACACCCAGACTCAGAACAACAATTTGTGGAACACACAAAGTGTCATCACATGTGGGGTATGAATCCACAACACTCGGCGCAGTAGGAAGCGGCGTGGCGACCGCTTAAACCACTACTAGCAATCCGTGCAGTTTTAAGTCAGTGGTGCTATTCTTTTGTTTTTGTTTCATATACTAGCGTGCTTAGGCGACCAAAGGTGTTTTATCTTAGCGAATCTGATCATGATTGTGAAATTGCGTATAAATAAATGAGAAGATAAGATAAGATAAATATAGCTTTCTAAATGTTAGGTATAAAAAAACTAGGATATATATAGATAATATAAAAAGAAGTAAGTAAGCATGTACTTATATTTATTTAGTTATTGAAGTGAATAATTCTTTAGGCGCGTTGGCCATTTTGGAATATTTTTTGAGGTGGGAAAAAACCATTGAACTTGCGACTCTGTTAGCGTTACCGTCACCTCTGTATATAAGTATCTATATATATTGGCCCCGTTTACACGAGAGTTGAGTTTGGGTTGAAATACATTCATTATAAAAAAACTATGTATAATGTAAACATATATGTGTAATAGATATATATTTATGTCGGCACTTTTCGAATCGAAAAAAACTAATTACTTTCCTATTAAAATTAAAAAAAATAGGTTTCACTTCTGTCGGCACTCCCGGAGTGTGACTGTTTTTTTTTATTTTATAACTTTATGCACAAATATATGCATTGGCAAACTCAATGCCTAAGGCATTTTCTGCCAGTCGACCGATTGGGCGACGCCGAGAAAAAGTGAGGTATGTTTTTTACTTTTTTTTTCTGTGCGGAAATCCCCTCGGCTACCACACACCGGTGGTTATGTTGGACTCGAGCCGACCAAAAACCGCACGCCGTCTTAAAGATTAAATAAGGAACAAAGAGCCGACAAACCCAGTGGTGTGAAAAGGACAGAGTAGAAGGAGATTATTGGCCGAACAAACGGTTTCTTTTATGTTTATAACTACATAATAATATGTGTCTACAAAATACATACAAAAGTAAGATATGGCTCCAAATACATAAAAATTTGAATTCGGTACGTATGGGCCCCTATGATATTACGGCCTCACAGAAGACCTGTGTTAAGCAATTCTTTCCCCACTCTGGGGAAAAGGACACGTAAGGGTGAAAATGCACTTGTATCTCTTGAGTTGCATGTGTCGAAGGACGAAGGTGGTCACTTATTACCATCAGGTAACACCTCTGTTCGATTGCACCTTTGTACCAAAAAAATATTTAGAGAGGATGATGAAGACTTTTAAGGTCAAAAGAGGTTCATTTTAAGTTCATTTAAGATAGTGATTAATATGTAACGTCATGTTTTTTGTGTATAGTTTTTTTTTTTACCACATTCACACAACGCCTTCTAGTCCCAAACTAAGCAGAGCTTGTACTATGGGTACTAGACAACTGATATAAATACATTTATATTTTTTTTTTGTAAATACATACATATTATACATAGAAACACCCGGACCAAATCAAACATTAAATGTTCACAAATGTTTGACTTGAGCGGGAATCGAACCCGCGACCTTTGGAATAGCAATCCGTTATACAAACCACTACGCCATCCGGTCGTCATTGTTATCATATATAAACCCAGTAATCAACACGAGTATTACGCATGGTGATTAAAACTGGATAAATACGAATTATATCACACTAAAAGTTTCTAGAAAATAAAACATGTAATAATAAAGAAGCCAGTCAATGTTTTTATTGCTTTTTGAAGTAATATCCATTCCTTTCGAAGCATCCAGCTTTCTAAGAACCATTGACTTAAGCAGTGAACCCGCTCTTCTTTAGAGATCTCTTTCACGCCTTTTTCAAACTCAGGTTTCATACACCTTTTTCTTCAGGGTTCATAAAACGAATTCCTTTAAGTTTATCTTTTATTTTTGGAAATAAATAAAAGTCACAAGGAACCTGGGTTTATATGATATGATAACAATGACGGCCGAATGGCGTAGTGGTTTGTGTAACGGACTGCTATTCCAAAGGTCGCGGGTTCGATTGCCTTTCAAGTCAAACATTTGTGTGCATGGACATTTAATGTTTGATTTGGTCTGGGTGTTTCTATGTATAATATGTACGTATTTACAAAAAAAAAGTATATATGTATTTATATCATTTGTCTAGTACTCATAGTACAAGCTCTGCTTAGGTTGGGACTAGATGGCGTTGTGTAAATGTGATAAAAAATATATATAGATAAAGTACAACCCAAGTACAACTAGTACTTGGGTTGTGAAGGTCTGATGACAGTCGCACAGATTGAAAAATCGGAGTTCAGCCGTATCGTAGTATCGTAAGCCAACCCCAAACTTTTTTTTTTTTTTTTCCGTGAAATCCCCTCGGATACCACCGTCTCGCACGCCGTCTCGGGTACTAATAGCCGGGGAACCAGGTATACCCTAGAAAGGAAGTCCCTGGTCCCCTGACATACCTCGGGCCATCTACAACAACAGGTAGACGACCCCCCCGTGTGGGAACCCCATGTTCCGTCTGCTCCCTGGAAGCGAGCGCGCTTCGCAACGCGCTCGCCGCCACCCCGGCTTGCTTCTGCTAGGGTGACAGATGGCCTCACCTGTCACCCCCAGGCCTGCGCTTATGGAGGACGGAGGTCGTCCTGCGACCTCCGGCGCCTGAGTCGCCTGCGGTACCTGGCCCGTTCCCGGGCCTGGCGGGCCGGGAGAGTCCTAAACCTCTCCCGGTCCCGCTCCGCCGTCTCCTGCGCGAGCATAACTTGCTCGCAGAAGGAGACGGCAGAGTTCCACGCACTCTCGCTCCGCACGATAGCCGCAATCAAGACAACCCCAACCTAGTTTGGGAAAAGACTCAGAGGGAAAGAAAGAGATACTAACATATTAAAACAAAAGATACCTTACCGTAGCTATTTCTGCACAGTACATTGGGCAGATGGTGTACACCATTCCTTCACCTAAGAATAAGATCCTGCCAGCGTAGATCAAATTCACGTTGAATATAACCAAGATCAAAATCCATCCGACTAACAAAGGGATAGCGCTGATTATGAGACCCCATTTGCGCCAAATAATAGAAGCAGCAAAGCCAGCAAAGAATGGACCTGCCAGAAAAGATTGAGCTTTGTGATAATCGTTAGAAGGTCTACTTTCTTTAACAATACATATTGCTAAATGCATCTGCATCTATATTATATAAAGTTAGGTTTGTATGCCTAAAAGGATAAAAGGAGGCATATTTAACAACCAGAGTTTTACTATTTTTGGTCTTGCTTACGCAATAAGTAAAAAAAAATTAACATGGCTTAACAGGGCTCGTGACAAATTTTTTTTTTGATTAACATGGCATGTGAAAATTTTGATGTTTTTCTTTATTGGTGAAGGATTAAAAATACGGAGTGTCACAACCCATTTTCATCCCGTGGGTATCGTAAGAGTTGACTAAGAGGCCGAACAACGTAGATCAACGACATTGCAAAGAGAAGGAAAACTTGACAGAAACCCTATACCAACCCGTCTGGCCAGCGTGGTGTAATAGGGCAAAACCTCCTTTCTTAGGAGAGGCCTATGTCCAGCAGTTGACTATTAAAGGTTGTTGATGATATAGGACATGGGACAACTAATGGTAAGCATGAGTGTTGACGGTCTCTGACGTGAAAGTACGCTCTTTTCTTGAAATTTTAAAGGTTCAGTTGAATAGTTAAGATGTGAAACCATGAAACAATGAATGTTACTAAGAATATTTAATGTTTTGGACATCTGACACACAACGCCATTTAGTTCCAAACTAAACAGAGCTCGAACTACAAAAGTAAGATTGACTGTATGGTATAAGGGGGCAAACAAGCAGAGGGGTCACCTGATGGTAAGCAACTACCGCCGCCCATGGACACCTGCAACTCAAAAGTCACAAGTGCGTTGCTGCCCGTGGAGCCCCCCCGAGTCAACGGGAGGAGGGATTTGATTCCGGTAACCTCACTCACTCAGTGAAAGGCAACGAAAGAATTGCTTAACACCGGACTGATAAAATATGTGTTTACTTTTTGTAAATGTATACATAATTATATATAGAAAACAACCAAACTCCGAAACAAAGATTTGTAGATCATACACATCATCATCATCACAATCAAACCCGAGACCTCAGCACAGTAGTCGCATACGCCACCACTGCACCATTGAGGCAGTCAACTTTCGTATTTATAATATTAGTAAGAATAAATAATACCGAATATTGCGCCGATGGCAAGCAGAGATCCCATCCAAGCCTCTTGATTAGTTGTCAACACGTAGTCTAGTGGTGATGTGGTTACATTTTGGAACAGCACGTGCACTGGGGAACCCCATCCCATGGAATAGCCGGTACGGACAATACCGTTGTTTACTGTATAGAAATTAGTGTTACTAGTACTAATAACATCAATTTATACCAATATGTGGTAGAAATTCAAAGAATTTTAAAATTTGAACTGATAATTTCACTTTTATTTATTTATTTACACTTTATGATCAATTGTGACAAAGGCGGACTGCATTTTCTCCCAGTCAACCTTAGGGTGATGCAGAGATAAAACATATTAGATGCACAAAAAATCTCCACTAGATTTAATGCTATTGGCTGTGATCAAATCAGCCGACGCATGATTTCAACAATCCTTGACCTAATTTTATCTGTAATCACCCATATAATTAACTTCTCACTAGACTCCGGCATTTTCCCATCAGTTTGGCGCAAAGCTTATGTCATCCCCTTACCTAAACTGCAAAATCCCACATTCCCCAGCCACTTCAGACCCATATTGATTCTTCCCTTCCTCTCCAAGGTCCTAGAATCCTGTGTTCTTAAGCAGTTTTCCGAATTTATCTACAAAAACAAACTGTTTAGTCACTCGCAGTCTGGTTTCAGGTCTGGTCGTAGTACTACTTCCGCTCTTCTTAAAGTGACTGGCGATATTAGGATGGGTATGGAGGACACAATATGGTTACTGTACTGGCACTGGTTGACTTCTCGAATGCTTTTAATACCCTTATATCTAATATCCTTATATCTATCCTTTCTTATCATAAGGTCTCGCCCGAAGAACTGGAATGGTTCTCATATTATCTTCAGGGACGCAAGCAGTGATTTTAAACTCAGACTGATGGTCTGAATACACTATTTCAGTATTAGTTAAGATGTCCCTTACACCGTGTCTACAGTAAACTGAGTTTTTTTTTTTTAAACCACGACGCCATCCGTGCTGTCAATGAAGAATGTATTTAAAGCCTAACGTAAACAAGTATTAAGTCGTGGTTGCCACGGTTTCGATGGAACCCCTTCTAACCCTAAAACGGCTCAAATCTGACATCCAATCCAAATCGTGTACACACACACACATCAACAGCCTTTAATAGTCCACTGCTGGACATAAGGCTCTCCTTAGAAAGGAGGTTTTGGCCTACTATACCACGCTGGCCAGACGGGTTTGACGTGTACACAATGTTTTTATACCTTTTATCTGACTACGGCAAAAAGAAGGTTATGTTTTTCGATTGTATGTGTGTTTCTTTGACACGCTCTTTAGTGTAAACGGCTTAATGGTTTTTGCTCTAGGAGGTGTCGTTAGATACGTCTAAATTGTAAGAGTGACACTGGGTGTATAAAAGTAATTAAAGGTAAAATCACCTTTTTGTAAATTTAAGTAGCTATACATTTCAATTTGTTTATTCTTAGTAACAAAACAACTGTTCATAAGTTTAAATTAAAATAAAATACAACGTACCAATGCCTGCAATTACATATTGGCGCCATTTTTGTTCTGTATCAGCAGCCTTCATGTTCAAGAGTTGTGTAATGACTGAAGGCACACGTTCCAAGATCAATGCAAATATCAGTCATGGTTTTAATTTCTCAGACGTCAAGCACGGATATTTTTAAATAATTTCATCTTGGCTTATGTGGCGCAGATTTGGAACACTTGACTGCAGTATCAGAGCTCGCAGGTTTGGTTTTTCTTCTTCAATCTATACATTTGTTTGCATAAATCGGTTACATATCTAGGTTAGAAGTCCATTTGCAGAACTCGGACCTCACGGCAACAGCCAATTCGAATGACAAGCACGTGACCTTGAACTTTTTTGTGACACGGCTCCTGGAGACACAGGAGCCAGGAGTGTGTGTTGTTTCCGCTAAAAACGCCGGGGTCTAGGCGCTCTACTCTGGGGAGGACTGACCTTGACCTACTCGATTTATTACTCGCACTTCCCAATCCATCCCTACAAGCATTAACACTTTCCTACCACTATTATCATGATGACTGATCATTACCTTAGCATCTTGCCAACTATTCTTTTTATTTTAAACTGTGAATATTCTTATTTAATGCCAAAGGTGACAAAGTAATTAGGCTTATCCTCGAGTGTGTATTACGCGAGTAGGGCTAAAATTACTAAAAACGTTCTGTTTACTCCTCCCGAGATAAAGGAGTGCATTTTATAGATTTTTAGTGATATCTCAATAATAAATAAAATTTGTCAAGAATTTTTAATAGACAGAGCCTGTACTGTGGGAACCAGACTGCTGATAAACATAAAGAACGCTCGGACTCAGAACAACAATACACGCACAAAGTGTTGTCCCGTCTAGGTACCTAACACTCAGTGCAATAGAAAGCGGCGAGGTGACCGCTTGAACCACTACGCGCAGTCAATGCATGCAACAGTAAAAAAATGGGCGGACTTTTGTTATTTTCATTCAAGTAGATTATTGACCCAAATATATAAAAGAAATCGTCTATTACATAAAACATGTGTAACGTAAACAACTCATCGTACACAAAGAAACTTGAAAAATCTTTTCAATTTTGTATTTAATGTCGCCTTTTAAACAATAGTTCATATCTTCAAAAGGAATCGATTTGTTTTATGTCTTTAGTATATCTATACTAATATTATAAAGCTGAAGAGTTTGTTTGTTTGTTTGTTTGTTTGTTTGTTTGAACGCGCTAATCTCAGGAACTACTGGTCCGATTTGAAAAATTCTTTCAGTGTTAGATAGTCCATTTATCGAGGAAGGCTATAGGCTATATATCATCACGCTAAGACCAATAGGAGCGGAGCACCAATGAAGAATGTTTCAAAAACGGAGACAATTTATTACTATTGAGAGACGCAGACGAAGTTGCGCGGGTCAGCTAGTATAAGTATATATTGCTTCTGTGAATGTGTTTGTTACTGAACTCTTCCTAAACCAGTACCAGATTTTTCTTTTATTTTATGACCAAAGTTTACATTAGACTTAAAATGGTCATGAACCGTTTATGACAGTTTTTAGTCATTTTAATTCATGTTTGCCAAAGACGCATGAAACGCACGCGTTAAGATCTTTTACTTCTTTGGACTCATTGTGCGATGAGCACTATCATTTGTTCTATCATCATCATCACAGCCTTTAGTAGTCCACTGCTGGACATAGGCTTCTCTTTAGAGCTTGGCCTACTATACCCCGCTGGCCAGATGGGTTGGTATAGGGTTTGTTTCAAGTTTTCCTTCTCTTTGCAGTGCTGTTGTCCTGCGTAGTTCGCTCCCTTAGTAGTCTTTTACGACACCCACGGGATGAATAGATACTCCGTATTCTTAATCCGTCACCGTCTGTAAGTCCGTTTGTTTGATTTGTTCTATATCTGGGTGTCATTTATCTATAATGCATGTTTATAAATATAATGCATACATACACACATAAATACAGTCTAATTTGGAATCTGAGGATCACATGTATAGTGTCTCAAGTTATTATTGTTATTAACTAAGCGAACCCTGTCAGGCTTCACTGTGGCCCATAGTGTTTGCATTGATGAGTAACGAGAAATAAATCTGACGTTAAAAATAGATAAAAACCATCTTTGGAGCGGGTTGTATTACATGTCAATAGTTGAGCTCAATCCATGGAGAAGTTTTTGAGTTTTTGAAGCGCACACACACAAACTTAACATTTATATTTATATATATACATATATATATATACTAGCTTTTGCCTGCTGCTTCGCCCGCGTGTATAACGGTTATAATAGCCTATCTCCTACCTCAGGAATCGAACTTGAAAAATCACATCTAAATCGCTTTAGCGGTCATTGATTTCTCAGACAAACTTCCACCCCTCCTTTTCACCTCCTTAAAGGATGATTGCTAGGATAAAAACTATCCTATATATTTGCCCGGGACTCAGACTATCTCTACACCAAATATCATCTAAATTGGTTCAGAGGTTTAAGCGTGAAGAGGTAACAGACTGACAGACAAACAGACAGACAGACAGACACAGTTTCACATTTATAACATTAGTATATATAGTAAATATATATAAAGTTTCTGTTTGGTACACATACCTAAATACTGTGATATATTACACTGTTATGTTGAACTTACAATGTATTCACTGTTTGTATACACTTTAAACATTACAAATTATTCATGTTTTATTTTTAGAAATAAATTGTATGCTTCTCGTTTATCTAGCTATATTTGAATATTTGCGGCAATAAACTGTTAGATCTAGATATAAAACCTTGACTTCATCATCATCATCATCATCTTTTAGTGCACTGTTGGACATAGGCCTCTCCTTAGAAAGGAGGTTTGACTTGACTTGGTCTCACTATATCCAATATCCCCCTTTTCCCTTTCCTACCTACCATTGCATTCCCTTTTTGCCTGTCTTTCAATTTATTAGCAATTTTACTATTGCCATTAAACTGAAAGTTTGAAATAATCTCAAAATGTCCTGTTTATAGCATAGCGTAGACTTTGCGTAAGTGTGAAAAAAGTATAGTAAGGAAGCATAAAGAGGGTGATAACTACGCCTCTGCCAACGCCTAACGGGTTACAGACGCAGCAAAATCATCTCTGACCTTCATGGCTATCTGTTGCCTTAGCAAAACCAGTCCCAAAACAGGGCCTCGTCATTTTCGATACGCCATATTAAAGTTCAAAAACCTGATGTTACAACCCTCTGCGGACGGATACGCAGACCGACATAGCGAAATTATAAGAGTTTTGTAAGGATTTCGGACCCTTACAAAACTCTTATAATTTCGGTAAACAGTTAAATTTGTCGTCAATAAATCATACTAATTCCCGCAAGGTGGTCCGACGAACTGGTGTAGATCCTGGGAAGCTGCTGAATGCGGGCAGAACAGAACCGGTTGTTGTGGTGAACCTTGCGGAGGCCTATGTCCAACAGTACAGTGACATCCTTCGGCCGAGATGGTGACGATGAAATCCTACAAAAATTTTGCTAAGTATTTTTAAGCTACACGACCAACTTTGACTGACCAACTTTGGCTGGCAGGAGCTGGATGCGGGAATGGGAGAGGCCTATGTCCAGCAGTGGACTGCGATAGGCTGATGATGGATGATGGTCCAACTTTAGACTGCGCGGATGACGTAGTGGTTTAAGCGGTCGTCACACCGGTTACTACTACTCGTATTGTGGGTTCGATCAGCACATCTGACAAGGTGTTCTTTGTGTCCATTTCATGTATGTTTGTAAAGTAAAAAATAAATAAAAGCTAAGAAGCTAATTACTTAAATAAAATGGTAACTCGAAATGATGAAGTCTTTTGACTGTTTTTATATTTTATTATTATAATACATTATATACAGTTTAAGAGTTATACCTTAACACTATAGACGAACACTTGTTATCTATCTCCGACATAAAGAGAGAAATCCTCTGGCCATGCCAGATGATCATACTTAATAAACCACGGTCCACTGTAGATGTTAGCAAGTTCTAAATATGCTATAGCCTAGCTATACGATTATATAAGTTTAGAAATAATACCCTATTTATAATGACCAGATAATATGAATACTGATAAATAAAATCTTATTAAGTACTTGACCTATATGTATGGACGAAGTCGCCATAATATCGATTAGTCAAGGGAAGAATTTATTGCTACTTTTCAGTCATAATAATATGATGAAATGAATAAATTAAATCGTAATCACATGTGATAAATCTTTACTTACTGGGATTTGGTCATAAATAATCATAAATGCCGTCAAAAACTAAATTAAATAAAAGACCAAACTTTTATCAGAGACTACGAGCCTGTTTTTAGACTTTTCGCAAATCTGGCTCCAGGCTAATCATAATCATAAGTCACAGTGGCTTTGTATATTAGACACTGTTGTGATTATATGATTTATAACAGGTGGTTGATATTATATTCCATCCCTAGTGGCAACGTATTGTAACTCATGAGTTGCAGGTGTTCATTGGCTGCGGTAGTGCAACTTATCGTGCAAACTATCTGGTGAACCGGTTGCTTATTTGCCCCGCTATGTCATACAAAAAACATTCATGCGAACTTTCGCATTTCCAATAGTAGTATTATAAGTGTAAGAACTTCCACACGACGAACTATGCGATACAGGTGCAGTTTGTCCACGTAGTTAAGCTTGCGTTCACTAGATGGCGTTGATATGTGTTTCTTTATACGTAATGATATTCCTTCTTAAGTTCCACACAGAACTTTTCATCATTCATAAACATTATCACTTAACACAGCACAGCTTTGCGACATAATACTAAAATTAGTTTTTTTTCAACATTTCGACTTCTCTTGTGATCTGGACGACCTGAAAGTGATATTAAGTATGTAATATTTAAAGTACAAACACTACTACTAATATGAGTCTGCAGCTGGCAATCTGGTCTACAGCTGCAGTTGTCTTCTTCAGGTTGAACTTGTCTCTAATTTTTAGTCACGTTTGAAACATTATTTTGCCATTTGGTGGTTAAATATTTCGGCTTAAATTAATATTATGTATTTTACTTTAAAGTGCATGTGACACTGATATCACAGGATTAACATAGATGTAATACTAACAATTTAAAAAGCATTTACATCCTAAGTCATACCAACTGAGTCAATGACAATCAGGCTATAAGAACCTTTAATTGGCTTATGCCTCCTGAGCTAAGTTCAAAGGAGGTTTAGCCCCACGTTCTGGAGTGAAATCACCCATACTTGTTGTCATATCAGTCATTACAAATCCAAGATAAACACACTTAATAGAAATTTCTTTGCCTTATTCAGTGAATTCCCTCTGCTGAACAAATTTGAATGCTAGCCAGTATTGAAACATGATTATAATAGACCGAGAAGCGGCCGAGAAGCGGCCGCGAAATTGCCAGGGTATCTGTTATATTGATAAAAACCATCAGGAATGATGGTATCCACGTTAGTAAAGAATAAGCGCCATGATTCTATATATGTTATAGTGATCAAACATACATACGTCCAATTTTAGAGTTTAAAGAGTTATTTAAGAAATAAATGATTGCCCGGAAAGAAAAGACCAAAGTTGAGGCAATCTGGAGTTAGAGGCTGTAGAAAAAAATCCAGGGTAATTAATATAACAGATACCCTTTTTTTTCCGTGCTGATATCCCCTCGGATACCACCTATCTATATGCGACTATAACCGCACGCCGTCTCGGGTACTAATAGCCGGAGAACCAGGTCACGGTACTATTATAATACAGTACTCCAACTTCATACAAACGGACGAAACGCGAGCTATACCTACGCGCCTCGATCTCGGGGTGCGCTCGGGGCGCAGACAGTCACGGCTGTACCGCAGTGTCGAACGGACGGTGTGTTGTTTTTTTAACAATAACCGCGCGATTTTTTCTCTAAAAATCAGTTAATATGACGAGTAGGAAATATTGTGCTGTTTTTGGTTGTATGAATTCGTCAATAACGCATCCAGACATAAGTTTTTTTAAATTACCTGGAAACTCTGAAAGGTAAGACTATAAAATAATTTTACTTACTAGTAGGTAGGTACATAATGTGTGTCTTTTTAATGGATAAGTATTTCCTTTTATCTCACGAAAAAAAGGTGTTTAGATTAATAAATAAAGCGAATAGAGTATCGGAAAGTTATTGAGACGAGTGAAATAGGTAGTGTATCAAAATCTATAGGGAGTGAATCAAAAAACAACACGCATTTTTATTGAACACTTCCTATTCAATATACAAAGTATTACATTTATTTATATAAAAAGGATATTTACCATCACAAATCTAAATAGAAACAGAAAGCAAATATAATTAAAATGCTGGAGACGGGCAGCCCTAACGCATGTTTACGTACCGCGCGGCTGTAGGCATTTATCTCTATCATGCGGCCGAGTTACAGTACTGTATTATAATTGTACCGTGACCAGGTATACCCTAATATAATAGATACCTTTTTTTTTTTTTTTTTTTCCGTGCGGAAATCCCCTCGGATACCACCTGTCGGTGGCATGTCGGACACGAACCGACTAAAACCGCACGCCTTCGCCGGGTACTAATAGCCGGGGAACCAGGTATACCCTAGAAAGGAAGGCCCTGGTGCAATATAATAGATACCCTGGAAATTTTGCGGCAGCCTCCCGGTCCATAAACATTACGTTCACAGAAATCGGTGTTAATCAATTCTATCGCAGTTTTCCATTGAGCGAGTGAGGTAAATGAAGCCCAAAATTAACTACCATAATTAGGTGGAGATCCGCAACCTTTTTTTAACTACTTTTATAATAGTTTATGATACTAATTATATAGGTTTAGGTACAGTCAAGTCGAATACCGGCGTTCTATTAAATTAAATTTAATTATACTGATATTCTCTTCCAATGTGGTGACGAATTAAGAATACGGAGTGTCATTACCCGTATTCTTCCCGTGGGTATCGTAAGAGCTGACTAAGGCACAGCTAAGAGAAGGAAAACTTGAAGCAGCCTCTGTATATGCCCGTCTGGGCAGCGTGGTACAGTAGGCCAAAACCTCCTCTCTAAGGAGAGGCTTAAGTCCAGCAGTAGACTACCAAAGGCTATTAATGTTATGTGATATTCTCTTACAAGATCTGTGTTTGTTTTGATGATCAGTTTACGATACAGCCCTGTAATTGAGGGAGCTGGAGAAGTGTTCCCCGAAAGACATACTGAAAGGGCCATAAGGGCCACGCTGAAAGCACGCGTTACTGGCAATCGTGTATGAAAGACCCGATGCAAATATCAAAATCGTGGCAAAGGACCTGCCATCATTTCTGCCTACTCCGGACGGTAATGAGACGTAAGAGTATTTTTGTATGTGTCTATGTATACGATACGTACTTGCCAGACAGTATGTCTTGGATTTCTTCAAAGGTTTTGCCTTTGGTCTCGGGTACATACAATAGCGTGAAGAAAAATGCCAAAATACTGAACACTCCGAAGGTGAAGAATTCCGGACCCATTCCTATAGCTTCTCCGATTGGACTAAAGAACCTGCAAAGAAGATGAGTTATTGATTAAGGAAATTTGTCAAGTCTTCAGAAGTCTGTGTTGTTTGACTGTTTTCAGAGTGTCCAAAACAAAGGAATTATTTCTAGTGCCGGTGTTATATTAACAACAATTCATACTTAGATTATAAATGTAAAACCAAGGTTATTTGTTTGTTTGTTACGCATTCATGCCTAAAGCACTATATCGATTTTAAAAATTATTACACCAATGAAAAGCTACATTATCAGCGAGTAACATAGGCTAAAAAAATCTGGTAATAATATAAAATATGACAGAAAAATAACATATTATAGTTATTTTTAGTTCAGTCCCAATCATTGCCCACTAGACCAACAGACCCGTCATCAGTTATCAAACTAATATTTAAATTCCTTATATTCGCTAGAATTCACAACTTTAGTACTTTCAGTAGATTTGTAAAAGGTGCTTTACCTGGTGACAAAGAACATCAATATCCAACATAACGAAGTTGGAATGGGTGAAGCGATGTTCTTGACTTCGATAGGGAGTAGCTCACCAATGAGGGCCCACGGCAGAGGTCCGAGTCCAATGCTAAATGCCACGATATACATTACTAAAGAGAGGATCGGTAGGAAACTGAGATTATCTACTACCGAGACGTGACTGTCGGCGAGAGTGAAGTACATCCCTAGGAGACCCTAGAAATAGAAAACAATTATAAGAATACATACTTCCATACTAATTTTATAAATGTTAAAGTGAGTTTGTTTGTTACGTCTTTGGACGGGACGGGTTTTCCCCTCCAACCGTCATGACGACCAGCCGCGAGGAGGCTACGTCCGCGTGTGCCGGACGTCGCCTAAATAGAGAATGTACCCGAAGGTGGTGCCTGCGCCGTTTCGGGCAGGCGCTAGGAGGGATCCGGATGTCTTAATAACTCGATGGGTTCGAGAAAGGCTTAAATCAAAGAATCTGAAACGTTAAAGCAACAGCAGAAATTATTTACCATGCTAATAGCAGTTCCAACGGTTGAGATGAGCAAAAGAAGCCGGCGTCCGTACTTGTCCACAACGAAAGAAGTGATGCCAGATGCCACAGTCTGGAACATATAGGTATATGAGCTGATTCCGTTAGAACAACACTCTACGGTGATGGATCTGTCTCAACTTGCCTCTATTATGAAGATCCTGAATTAATTGCGATATATTTCTAAAAAACTTTACTTCAAAGTTTTTAGAATATTTTACATCTTAAATCCATCCAACAGTTAACTTTAAAATAATAGTTTTATGATATATTTTTATTATTTATTTAAGTGTAGTTGTATTTGAAAATTTATGCAAGAAGAATTTTTAGATATTTGTTTTGATTTTTGTCATGACATTAATTATCTCTCATAAGGTTAGGTTTCTATCAAAAGCAAATAAATCTGTTGTGAAAAACCATACAATACTCGTAGCTTTATTTGCTCCTGATAGACAGAGAGATTAGTTGGTTTTCCCTGAATAGCCAAAACTCACAATGACATTAATTTTGATGCTCGAATATATAAACTAGATCACGTAGCAATCATTTCTTTTTTAAAAATCCTTTCGAGTTTTTACACGCCAACAAACCACGAATACGTTAAATTATACAAACTATTCCATTTACCTACTTATACTTAGATAAGAATAATTTTTATGTTTTTAATTAATATAGAGTGATTGATGTACTTCATATCTATCACGTCCGTTTTCTGTTTGTACCTAATATAATATAAAATTACCAGCACAATTCCTATAATGATGGTAGCAATCGAAGAGTCCAGCCTCATCCCAGATGCATCGAAGATCGTGATCAAATAGAACAAAACAGCATCGATACCACAAAACTGTTGGAAGAATAACAGCATACAGCAGATAAAGATGGCCTTCAAGTTATTTCCTTGGAAGAGAGTTTTTATCTGAAAATAAAGACCACAATGAGAAGGAGTAAAATCTACTGGTACCTGCATTTATCACAGATTTATAAAAGACGAGAAGCTCACCGTCGCAGTTCTTGCCATGGCAGTAGTAACCTCAGCATTCATTTTATCAAGCTCTGACTGCACAGCTTTGGGGGATCGACCACGAATCTTAGCGAGACACTTTGTAGCTGCTTCCTTGTCATCTGCAAGGTAGACGTCAAGATATCACTGACTTATAACTAACTAGCCTAAAGTGGAGATGGGAAGGACTCTTGACAGGATGGCAGATAATGAACCATAGTAGTCCAAGGTAGTTAAAGCAGATTACCACCCGGATGTTTGAACAACCTCCAAAAGTTGCACAGTACTGCCGAAATCCTATACATCCAAAAGCCCTTCAATCCAAGGTCCAAAAGTTGCTTTATTATAAAATCAGATCATATAAATAATCTGATCGATCTGATTTTACAATTTTTTTTACACACATGCACGCAAATTTAGTTATATTCGATGTGAAATTTCCATCTACAATCACTTAAATTTTAAAAGGATCTATTGCGCCTAAAATCCAAAATTATGAATGAATTAAGATGTAGTTTAACGTAAATGGCTCGTTAAACTTCAAACAAAAATGGTTTCAATTTAATTCTCTTCATAAACTTACTTATAAGCAATCTACTAACTTTTCGTCAAATGGTACATAGGTGACTCCGGCATGAATATCATTCCCACGCAGAACACAGCTACAAACGAACAGCCCACGTACGCGATAGTATTGTAGGACGCAAAGCTTCCGATGAAGTAAATGGGCAAGAAACCAGCAGAGTTGAAGAGCTGCAAGAAAGAACCCAAAGCTCCTCTACTGTCAACCTGCGAAAGGAAATATAAATAATTGTAGAAGCTTATCATTTAGATACGCGTCGTGTATTAACGGAGGGACAGACGAATAAGAAAATAAAATTAGTAAATAATTTGACCACAGCAAGAATTTTTATTTTGTACATTCTGAAGTTTTTGTTCCATATAATTAAATTCATAGCAATAGTCATGGATGTGAGTATACCATCGTTTAGAAAAAATAGGACTATATTAACCATTACCACCATTAGGATTCATATTCACTTTTTTTTATTATTTAAAAAATATAATGTTACAGTGTTCGACAATTTTATACGAAGTAGATCTTAGACAGTAGTTTCGTTAATTCTTAGGTAATAAGAGTGTAAATCTAAGGTAATGATATTATATTTATACAGATTTTTACACATGAATATAGATAATAAAATTCAGTTCAAAAACTTGAATTGCTGCCTGTCTGAACTAGGGTAAACTTGTGTTTCAGGCAATCACTTGTCAAAGTTGTGAGTTACAAGCAAATTAACAGATTAATAGAGAACATAGAAAAAACACCACATAGTGTAAAACATCTAACAACAGTAATTTCAGTTATATCATTTCGCTCATTTACAAATATTTGTATACATAATTGTTAAAAAATTTCATCAGATTCAAATTTCATGTCAATATTATTTTACTAAAAATTGTACTTAGCAATGACTAAGGCCAAGTAGTAAAAACAAGATTTAGATGTTTCATAGTTTGGGCTAACTTAATAAAAAAAACTTGTCCGTGTAGTGACGGATTAAGAATACGGAATGTCACTACCCCAATTCATCCCGTAGATGTCGTAAGAGCCGGCTAAGGGCGCAAAACAACGCAGGACACCAGCACTGCAAAAAGAAGGAAAACTTGACACAACCCCTATACCAACCCGTCTGGCCAGCGTGGTATAGTAGGCCAAAACCTCCTTTCTAAGGAGAGGCCTATGTCCAGCAGTGGACAATTAGAGGCTGTCGATGTGATGACGAAAATGAAAGTGCACTACTGTTTTATGGTATACATTAACCATAAAAAAGTCGGCAAAAGTTCGTTGCTCGCTTAGCAGATGGATTACCTGATGGTAAGTGGCTGCCGGCGATCATGGGGTCCTACCTACAACTCAAGAGATACAAGTGCGTTGCAGCCCTTAGTGTGCTTCCTCCATCCCGTGGTATTCCCCGACCAATTTTCGCAAGCTAGGTTCGGGTCGGCTTTAAGTTTTCATTTTCATTTCTTACGTGGAGCCACTACCGTCAAAACTTCTTTAGTAAGACCGTTGTCAGACTCTTCTTAGGGCTCCGACTATCGATTTCCATAGATGTTTAATATCCTCCCGTAGTATTAGCATTCAAATAAATTCTAAAATAAGCTTAAGAATCATATTATGCTTACCGTTGCTATTTCTGCGCAATACAAGGGTGAGTTGGTAAACAGCATTCCTATACCCAATCCACAGAAGAGTCTGGCTGCATACAAAATGTACAAGGTGGATGAGATCACTATTAAAATCCATCCCAGGAGCAGAGGGATACCACTGCATATGAGACTCCACTTATAACCCCACTTTGATGATATATACCCAGATAGGAATGGACCTGTAAATTAATAAAGATTCGCATTAAAAATGAAAGTATTTTTTTTATGATACTAATCATTCTGACACGCCCACTGTTGTAACTTCGATATACCAGGATCAACAGCAGTGAACTAAAAACACACCGAGTCGACACCCGGGAAGCCGCAGGAAAAATTAAATTGTTTTGGGATCGAAACGAAACAACGAAATTAATCAGAAGCAAATTGAAGGGGTTGGAAAAGTATAAACTTTGAAACACTTGTGAAAGTTATAGGGAAATCTGGAGAAATAATTAAGAACTAGCGGTTGCATGATTTTTACCAAAGCACCTTCACCGTTTTCTTGTGTCTATTATGTTCTACAAAATAGACACAAGACTATTATTTTCTTAAAGAAGATTGGTGTGAGGTAGTCGGCTGTTTTCGTGAAATTAATATGTTTAATTGTCATTGACACGCCAACTCTATGCAACGATTCAAATAAATTTATGCCTATATTTAACATTAATTGCGGTTTTCTTACTAAAACTCTTGTATTCATAGTAAGTATAAACAGATCACCTCTTTCGTTTTTGTATCGCGATGTTTTTTCGACTAAAAGCTAATCTCCGAAAACCTCGGAGATACCCTTTTGTTCATTGTTTTGAAAGAAATACTTTGATTTTATTGCAATATAATACTACGCCACACATGGAAATAAAAAGCGAAACAAATGCTAACACTACTTACTAGAGTAAATTAATGCAGAAATTTAAAAAAATGAAAATTCGGACACTCAATGAATTATTAACAACATTGTTATTTAAAGCGAAAAAAGCACATTGTTATTGATATATCGCAGCCATTCGATTCTGTTCCACTGAATTAAAATAACTCAGTATAAAATACAGACTTTCAAATGATTTATATGAATATTTTCGTCATCTAATCCAGGCAATGAGCTCGTTTCTACCAGGTTGCCCTGGCAGTAGTCACAGGCTGGTTGCTCATGTTATTTGATATCCACTGGCCGTATTAATATTAGTTTTTTTTTAATATTAGTAAAAATTGTAGTATCTTGACTCATTTTACACACAGCTATCTGATTGCAAGCTAGGTGGAGCCAGACTTTAGTAACTAGACTGCTATTAAATACATGACTATTTCTAAAGACAAATATGTTACAAATAAATCAATCATAACTTCTTCAGTCATAGGTCGTCTAGTATTTCTTTTTAATTTAACGACATGTACGGTGACGGCAGATGAACAAATAAAACTGTATTCTATCTTAAAAACTTTATTTTATTAAATTTGTTCATCAGCCACGCTGATCAGATCAGACACACTTTCAGCACATACTAAAAGGAAATAAATTATAACTTTCAATTATTAAGAATTAGTTCATAAAAGTGATTGTGGGATTTTACCAAAAATTGCAAAATTAAATATTTTCTAAATAAATAATGTACAGGAAGCGGATTTATTACTAAACACAAACTTGTTGTTGTTACATTAACATGAACCTATAAATCGGATACGGTACACTGATGACTGTATGACGAATGTGGAAGAGATCAGTGGCTCTTCGCTATTGTGGCAAATGGCGCTCTGACTTACCCTGGGTAAGAAAAAGGCGTTAGATTCTTCAATACTAAAATCCTTTTACATATACCCCATATTCATGTATGTAATCACTGCAACACCCAGATTTTGTCATCACTATAATTTTTCCCACAATACGCAATAATGAGAAATCCAACCGTCACGTTGGGAATTAAAAATTTGAAAATTGAGAATATTAAAATGGAATTGTAGGGTAGGAAATTTGGATAAAACGACAGATCTCTCCATGTGGTGCTGGATTAAGAATACGGATTGTCACCACCCCTATTCATCTCGTGGGTGTTGTAAGAACCTAATAAGGGAGCAGACTACGCAGGACAACATCACTGCACAGAGAAGGAAAACTTCAAACAAAACCTATACCAACCCGTTTGGCCAGCATGGTATATCGGCCAAAACCTCCTTTCTAAGGAGAGTCTTATATCAAGCAGTGGACTAGTAAAGGCGATTGATAATGATAATGATGCGTACGAGCAGATCGTATATTGATCGGGCTGTGCTTAGGAAATCTGAAGTCTTTAGACACCTTAGTCTATAGAAATAATGAACTTACCAAATATCGATCCAATGGCAAGCAGGGATCCGATCCATGCTTCTTGATCTGTCGTTACGGCTACTCCTAATGGTGATATGGTAGCATTTTTCAGTATTGGGTGTGCAGGGGAAGTCCATCCAATTGTGTAACCGGTGCTGGCCATCCCGATATTGACTGTAGGATAAAGATTAATTATAATTTGTTAACTAGAAGCCCAAAATCGATCTAAGTGGCGTGCAATGGGAGAGGCCTATGTCCAGCAGTGGACTGCGATAGGCTGATGATGATGATGATGATAATGTTAATTAGTTGTCACATAAAATTTGACTGAAATTAATATTGACCTATGTCCATAATCCAGCCGTAATTCAATATTTATTGGTTGAAATAAAACTTATTATATGAATTCGTTAGATTTAGTGAGTTACATCAGAACACATTACATTTGACAAACTCCGTGGTTTTAGATAAGTTTTACTGTTGTGGTAAAGATTTACATGTCTGGCTTATGCTGGACTAGATTCTGATCACTTTCAATACGGAAGTCACTTTTTATTTTGTACTTTCTAAGAGGAATTCTTGTACAGAAGGCCAATTCTTGTTAAGAAAGTTTGGTCACAATTCAGTGCCGATCAACTCTTAATCTCGCAACTCTCATAAAAGGTATTTTCGTAGTGGAATAGTAAAGTATTACTAAGACTAGCAGATTACCGATTCAATTTTCGGTCACCATAAGATATAATCACATTACAGTCAACGTTGGATTTTTAATACTTTACGCAGAAACAACCCGTCTGGCCAGCGTGGTATATTAGGCCAAAAGCTCCTTTTAAAAAGAGGCCTATTTCCAGCAGAGCACTATGAAAGGCTGTTGATGACGATTATTGCTGATAGGTCCATATCAGTTAGATTCACATTGATTTGTCATAACAGGGTTACGATTCCATAAAGTGTTGCACTTATTGTTGACTTAAAAACTCATTTCGAATAAAAATGTATTGTTACATTTAAATATCAAGACCTATCTAAACTTATTATACCTTATCGTCCAAAACGAAGTACAAAACGTTTGATATGATACATAACCTTTACTAATAATCTAAAAGCGAATGTTATTTTGTTTGTCTGGTACACTTTTATGCGTTAACTACTCAACCGATAAGTTAAATTGGGAAACGAGTGTTATATTATCCTTTGATCAGGAGAGGTGATCATGCCCAGCGGGCCGCTGGCCTTTTTTTGTGTCAACAAAATTTCCCTGGTGGAAACTCCCTTCGGATATCCGGCTACTCGCTTTTATAAATACTAATGGTCGAGATAACTTTCATATCGCGATGTGGAATAGTAGTTACTCCGATTTTTATCATTTCATGGGATTGCAAGTTTGTTTTTGGTTGCTTGTCGATGTTGTAAAATTTTGCATGAACGTTATCTAAGTTACGTAGTACAGATTGCCAAAGTGATCAAAGTTATTTGGGCTATTAAGAAAAGTATTTCATATTTGTCTTAAATGTTATTTTGTAGAATTTGTACACTGACGTGACGGCCTTCTGATTTGTACGAATTTTTATTAAAGATAATGAGGTTTTCAACTAAATAAATAACATATTTGCTTACAAACGGCATTCACGGCTTTGTTACTAAAATAAAAGGCAATTTCACTATGAATGATAAATTTAATTTCTAGTGTAAATAGTTTAATACTGTTATAAAGATACAGATCTCTGATATGAAAAAAAATGTATCTGTATTAAACATAAGTATTAAAAATAAATTATTCATATAAGTACTAACGAAAAAAGTACTAGGTGTATATAACTAGTAGGGAGGTGCTGAACTGACGGAGGGCTGGTCCCCGGTGTACAAGACATCCGAGGGGGTAGCGGGCCATCAGAGAGTTGGGACCTCTAATGGCAGACTAAGGGAATTGCGATAGGGGATAGGGTGGCAGCTTTGTCCAGGACAGAACCTGGTTACGCATAGTCCGAGTCCTACCTACAGTATGGCAATTGCGGCTAGCCGTCGGGATGGGTTTTAGTTACCACATGTTTTTGCCACCTGTGTCTCCAAGGAACCGAAGACATGAAGACATTTTCCAAAGAATCAAAAAAAGGCACTATAGGTCTGTAGGTGGCCAGTTCAGTTGGTCATTCAAGTCGAGATAACACACATCACCATAGTCGATAAGTGGAAAAAATAAACTCTGCACAAGCATCGTCTTTGTTTTTATTGGGAGGATTTTTTTAAGGCGATAGAATCCTGGTAAAATATTCGTAAGCTTCTGACTGACACTAGTTATCTGAGTTTGCCAGTAATACTATCAGAATCAATTCTGCTTATCAATCTAGGACTCCCTATGATGATCGCTTGGCATTTTGATGGGTTCACCGTTAAACCAAACCTGCTGGACTAGTTTTTTATGGTCTCTAAGACTTGATTAATACTATTTACAGCTTCGTCCAAATTTTCTACACTTATATGTGAATAGATCTGCAGGTCATCTGCATATAAGTGATACGAACACCGAAGTTCATGGGTTATGAGATCGATAAATAAAGAAAACATAAGAGGAGAAAGAATACCGCCTTGTGTAAAACCAGACTCGAGTTCGGCCCACATCGATGAAGATTCATCGGTTCGGACGGACTCCTGGCGTTCTTTAAGATAGGACGAGAACCATTCCAGTGCATCATCGAATATCATCATATCGAGAGTCACTTTGAGCAACGCTGTCTCTGTACTGTGTCCAGGTCGGGATCCTGACTGATATGGGTTGAGCAAATTATTCCCGTAAATGAAGTTTGAAAGTTGCTAATGTACGCAGGCTTCTAGGACTTTGGAGAGAAATGGAATTATGGATATTGAACGAAAGTGGTAATCCAAAGTTTCAAAAGAATAATTATGTTAAATTTTGATATTTATTCATGCAGTATTTAAAATACCGATTTTATCCAATATTGAACTTGTACGAGTATACATAATCATAATAAAGGTAAATAAGGCAGCAGTTTAAAAAAAATCCATTAAAACCTACTAAAATATATGTTTTAATGTTTTATTAAAAGGACAATATTATGACCTAAGATGACTATACTATGGAATTACGAGCCATAAAACATTTCACTTAATAACAAAACTGTTTAAATAGATTCTATTTTTTCCTTTTCTTTTATTGTCTATGATATTTTTTAAAAAGTAATAAAAAATAAAGACATACCTATGCCAGCTATTATATATTGGCGCCACAATTGCCCTGGTTCATCTGCCTCCATTCTGTACAGTTGTTTGACTGACTGAAACTAATTTCTGTGTACTAGTATATATTTGAATGGTAGTTTGCGTAATTTGCTATCTGAAATCTTAACAAATAACTTGATAAGGAATCTACATATTTTGAGGGCGTTTAACCTACTAAAGAAAATTAAGAATCGTTATTATATCGAGAGTGGCGGGATACAACCCGATAAGAGAGAAAAACTTAGATTTTTACCTAAAAGTGCAGTTGTAATGTATTTTTTCCGCTTTTTTTAATGTTATTTACAGATATACCGATGGGTAGGTATAAGAACACCTAAAATTAAAATGGCTACACTTAAAATGCCGATGTTCAAAACCCCTAAAATTAAAATGTATCGAAATATCGAAAGTTCTAACAACTACTCTTAAAGCGTCTAAGATTAAAATGCCTGATAAGTAAAAAATCTAACGTTTCAAAATTGGTATAAAACCATCTACTGTTATGAAATCATTTGGGTTAGGTTGCGAGTGAAATGAGCGTGCCGCGGAAGGCGCCAGCGCCGAGCGCCAGATCTCTCCCTCCCTATATTTAGGTCCTCCGATATAATTTTTGTTGATGAGAGAGTTTTTTTCTGATTTAAGTATTGCGGCGCATGTATGATTAGGTATTTAGATATTACATGTGTGGTTATTGTAAAATTATGTTTTATGAACTTCGATTTTGTAATTATAGATGTTCTAATATGTACTCATACTGATTTAATCAAGATTACTGAATAGGTTGAGTTAATAACCCAATAATTATTGTACGTAATAATTCAACATTATAATACAATAAAGAAGAAACTGTAAGACATTCACTGTCTGATCGATCAGCGCGCAACTGAAACCGATGGGTATCACACACATCAACAGCCTTTACTAGTCCACTGCTGGACATAGGCTCTTTCCTTAGAAAGGAGGTTTTGGCCGATGGGTATAGAAACATGAAATTTTGGACATATGTTCCTTAGATGACGTAAGTGTGTACTAAGAAAGGATTTTTTTTTAAATCACTCCTAACGGTGCAAAATGGGGGTTGGAATGAATAAATAAATAAATTATATGAAACTTCGTTACTTTTGGTAGCAACGTTTTCAAACTCACAGTAAATACTTTTTATTAAAAGTAATAAAAAACGTTGTTAATAATTTTTCAAAATTACAAATTATAAATCACAAGCGCCCGTTTCCAAGGGGTTGAGCCTTAGGAGAAGAAAGGGCAAACAAACTCAAGGCCATAGCTAGTGTTTAAAACAACTTTATTGCTTAGCGTCATTAAATAAACAGCACATTGTAATTTACAAGTCTAGTAGTTTTGTTATCTGCTGTAAACTGACTAAGATGTGCAATTTTTATTTTTAAACTATTCATCTGTTTACATACATAAATACTGATCACTAGTGATGGAAATTATTGCTACTTTTAAATCATAATCAAAATTATCATGAAATGATTGACTTTAGTCACTGCGTTTTCACATGTGATAAATCACTCGTAGGATTTGGTCATAGACATAGATGAAAACCAAACTACGCCCTTTTTTAGACCTTTCACGAGTCTGGCGCTAGCGTAATCAAAATCATAAGTCGCAGTGGTTTTGTAAATTAGCCACATGTGTGATAAAAGCAGATTGTGATTTAATTCCATCCCTACTAATTCATAAACAACGTCACACGAATTCCGTACCTTTTTGACCCACACTTCCATCCTTTTCACAACTGGTCAAATTTGTGACGTCGTGACGTGACCCTATTATGACGTCACATATTTTGCAATTTTATATCTAGAAATTATTGAATTATAACAGCAGTTCCACTTACAGAGCAAGCCTTTCGCCTCCAATAGGGCACTTAAGCCATTACATAGTAAAGTTGTGTCTTTATTGACAATAAGTAAATGCAAAAAAGAAGTCAGAATGGAAAGCAATGGAGGGTATGGGATTTTTTTTTATTCGTATGGGTACACAATTTAAATCTTAAAATTAAACATTTGTTTACATTTAAGATTTGATGCCTGATATCTGTGTTGATATCTATACATAGGTATGTATGTACCGCAAGATATTTTTATTACTTGGGTAATAAGGTGACGTTTTGGAAACTCCGCAATGATTTCCTAACCGCGGCTGATTGTACAATGGTATGTTGGCATCAAACCGACTTAAACTAGAAGGTATTTTGGCAATGATCGTATTCTTGGAAGTCCTCAAAAGCCCAACTATCTTGGGCGCCTTTTAAATTGTGACTTATAATCATAGAATGTGAAGTCTTGCTCCACCACCGACCCATGCTTGCTTCTTCTAACAAGCAGCACAGCAACATCCGCTACCTGGGGTGGTCAGGAGACCAGGTGGTCAGAGATCGCATGTCATTGAACAGGCAACAGAAACGCGGTACAACATTTTTATCACAATGAGTCGCATCACATCACACAAAAAAGTGTTTTTTTAATCAATCACTAATTAAGTAGTTCTCATATGGACTTAAATCACCCGATACTCGAAGATTGTTGATCCGTTTACCCTGAACCCTGTTGCACTCTATTAAAAATTATAGTAAATTTAGTCATTTATTCTTTCTATTTAGTCGTGTACCTTTAGGCACTTTGAAGTCGACTATCTTTTTTTGTAATTATATATAAAAGATTAATAAATATAACATTAGAAGAGAATTTTGGAGACTATACGATTGTTATTAAATAAATAAAGGTTAAAAAACAGGCTAAAACTACTTTAAAAGATTCTTCTTTGTCGTATCAAAGGGTGAACCTTTTGTCCGCCCATAATTCCGAGACAGCCACGGCATTGTCCGTTGCTCTTCACAGCTCCTCTACAGTGCAGCTGGAGAGGCATAGTGGGCAAGAAAGCAAAATATGTAGCATGGTTTGCATTGGAGAGCCACATTCACAGCGCGTTTGCGTCTCATCGATGTAGCCCCAATTTGCCATGTTGCTCTTGCAACTATCAAGCTGCGTACGTAAGCGATTCAATGATCTCCATGTTTGGGCAACATTCGTTGTCCAGGTGGCAGGTTTTCGGAAGGTTTGATTAAACCTGCCGAGACAGGATGTTTAGCTGCCCACATTTGTTCTCTTGCCCGTTGTGAAGAAATACTACTCGTATTGAAAAAGATTCTGTCAGATAGATACGGGCAAGCTTATAAGAAAAACGAATAAAAAAACGAGCTAGTTTTACAGTAGTTTAATATGATTTGTAACACCTGATATCTGATGTGCGCCACAGATACCAACTTATAACGCCCACTTTCTCGTCTTCCTGTTTTACATTTCCTTCAGTTTTAGCGAAATCACTTCCACAGATCGCAGGAAAGCGAGAGGAAAGTTGTCCATATAAAAACAAAAATCTAAATAAAATTTAGTTTATTTTACTTTTAGACTTCCTGCATTACAATTTGCACGAGGCGGACTTAATATCACATGGCATGGTCTACCAGTCAACCTGGTTTAGTAAGGGACATGGCAGGTGCATATGTACAATGAAAAGCAGAAAAAGCTATTAACTAAATATTCATAAAAATGCATTTACAATTAATAGTCCTATTTCAAAGTATATTGACGAAAACACAAACACATATAATATATATGTAATATACATACAAAATAGGATATTTACAATAATATCTATAGTATAAATGGTGGTGACGAGGTGACGGGATCATGAGGATATTTCTGGTAGCTATTTCTTGTAAAATTCACTACTTTTGGCATTAAACGTGTTACGATTTGTTAACATTGTTTGAGCGCATTCTTTAGTAGTATAGATTAGACAACAAAAGATAAACGAACAAGAGAAGAAGTGAGTAAAAGATTATAATTAGTGGAACCGAATACCGAGACACCATTTTGACTTCTTTCAATTTTTCACTCGTTGATCATAAACAAATTTTATTTTACTGGCCTGACTGATGACGGGCCTGTTAGCTTAGTAGCTAGTGACCTTGACTGCTTAGACAGAGGTGGTGGATTGGATTGTGTGATGAGCGCGATCATTTGTTCTGAGTAATGTAATATGTATGTATTTACAAATATTTATGCATGTTTATCAGCAGTCTGCATAGCATATTTTTATTTTATTATGATTTAGCATTGAAAAATACATACAACTTCAAATTTATACCGAAAAAAAATTAACCGTAATAAAACTTATTTCCTAGAAATAATGTATATGGCAAAACAAAGTTTGCCGGGTCAGCTAGTAATTAAACATTATTTCAAGAATACGAGGATTTTACGGTAAAATAAATATGTTTTGTAAGTGCAATAAAACATTATCAGTACAACACTTCGTCACACGTCTTTACCAAGTCTCTCGTAGATATTTAAAAGAATGATTTTCCAAATCAGTAATTACTTTGCGTAGCGTACTTGGAATTTCATGATGTTAATAAAATAACCCGATTTCAAAGGAAAAATACAGATAACTTAGAACTGCTACTTTACACTACTAAACAAATAATTTACTTAGAGTTGTTATTTTTTCAAACGGTTAATAATACACTACGGAGCCCTACACTGCGTCAGCTGACACGATCTTGGTCTTTGAATAATAATATTTTTAAATATTTTTAGGACATAGTTTAAAACTAGATGGCGTTGTGTCTGTACACACAACGCCATCTAGTTTTAAACTAAGCAGAGCTTTTACTATGAAAGCTAGGTTGACTGATAAAGTTTTTAATGTATGTAAAAAAGCTCTAAATACAAGTTTCACTGTAATATATATTTATGGATATCCTGCGCCTGAAGAAGGCTATTCTTCTTAACGCAGGCTATCAAATGAAAATCCAGAGGTTTTAATAACAGCTGTTCCCGGACCCTTCCTATTTCAGGCGCAGAGGGGCACAACTTGTGGTTCTTGTCGGTTAGATTCCGACAAATCTTAAAAAAAACCCTATACCTAACCCTATAGTAGGCCAAAAGCTCCTTTCTAAGGAGAGACCTATGTCCAGCTGTGGACTGGTAAAGGCTATTGATGA